TCTTTATAAACTGGCCAGAAAATTATTGCCTTCATTGTCGTTTAAATATCCGTTGTGCAATCGCAAAAAAAAAGAAAAAAATAATTGCAACTTGTATATTTACTACCAATTCAGAGTCATGTACTTATATATCTGTTATATCTATGTGACTCTGATGGGTTAGTATTATACCCCTTCAAGAATATTTTATTATTCCACATACACTTTTTAAATTACACCAAAGTGGTTGGGCCACTTACCTTTTATATCCTACCTCTCTTCCCCCTCCCACCCTTTTCCAATATTTCTATCCTTACCCATCCTTCTTTCTTACCCATCTTACCAAAGCTCTGGTTATAAGAAGAAGAAGAAGAATCAGTAATGGTCGGTTAGTCATTACTACTGACACTACTGGTAACTGATACTACTGGTTACTGATACTACTGGTAACTGATTCTACTGGTTACTGATACTACTGGTAACTGATACTACTGAGAATGAAGTGGAAGCAGGAACCATACATAGTTTTAAGACAAGGTATGATAAAGCTCATGGAGCAGGGAGAGGGAGGACCCAGTAGCAGTCAGTGAAGAGGCAGGGCCAGGAGCTGAGTCTTTACCCCTGCAACCACAAATAGGTGAGTACACACACACACACCTGCACGCATGCACACTTGCAGCTGCATATAAGTGAGTACACACATGCAATCATACACGCACAGTACCACTAGCACAAACTCACAGTATCCTTTGGAGGAGCCTAGATCTAGATGAAACACCAGAGACCTTAAGTGCCCCATGGACTGGTGGCAAAAGCTCTCGCTTCACACGGTGAGGGTCTGGGTTCAATACCTGGTGAAGGGGTGGAAACATCGGACGTGTTTCCTTACACTGATTGTCTATGTTCACCCATCAGTAAAATGGGTACCTGGGTATTAGTCGACTGGTGTGGGTCGCATCCTGGGACAAAACTGACCTAAGTTGCCTGAAATGCTCTGCATAACAAGGGACTTTGTATATACAGCCTTTCCTCACTTAACGACAGAGTTCCATTCCTAAGACCACATTGGTAAACAAATTCGTCACTAAGTGAGGAGCATACTATAATTGTAGTGGGTTTAAGTCAGTCATCTTTGATATTGTTTTAATGTCACCTTTGTACCATTTATAACATTTCTGGTATATTTTTAAATGTTTATACAGCAGTGTACTGTATATTGTAGTAAACAGAATTGAGGAAATCAGCTCTAATATACGTACATTAATTAGGTATGTATACTGGTCAGAGTCCATCATAAGTCCGAGTTGCCAGTAAACAAGTACGTATGTCATTAAGTGAGGAGAGGCTGTAGAAGTATGTGATTGATGTCAGCTAGGCCTGTATACCTTGTACATGTACTTGTAGAAATAAAGATATTATTAGTATTATTATTATTATTATATTAAAGAGTGGAGACATAGCCCTATCATTCCACATTATAAAAATCGTCAAAAGAATGATGAGATACCAAATTACAAACTTATGGAGGAACAGCACAACCCAAACCAGCATGGTTTTAGAACTGTAAGATCATGCCTGTCACAACTAAACCACTAGGAAGGAGGCATTCCTCAGTGCCCCTATTTTCACTTGACCATGAACTTTGCCACGCTATGTCTCCACTCCAAGTGGTCAGAATGGGTCGAACTAAACTTTCAATTGCAGAGAAGACCCATGCACTCACCCTATTAGAGCAAGGCATGTCTGTGATACGCATAGCCACAGGCCTGAAAGTGACGAGGATGGCAATTTACAGCCTCAAGAAAGCAGCTGCCTCACTCCAACCTGTCACCGTGCCATTAAAAAGACTTCTCTTTGCACAGACAAGATCCTGAAGATGGAAGTGTTATTAGATCCTGCCATAACAGCTGCAGACTTCAAGAAAAAGCCAGGTTGGAGTGAGGCAGCTGCTTTCTTGAGGTTGTAAATTGCAATCCTCGTCACTTTCAGATCTGTGCTGGCTGCACGTATCACAGACATGCCTTGCTCTAATAGGGTGGATGCATGGGTCTTCTCTGCAATTGAAAGTTTAGTTAAACCCACTCTGACCACTTTGAGCAGAGATAAGTATGGCAAAGGGGACACATCAGTCCTAAATACAGTATGTACTCACTGAGTAGAGGAGAGAGAGATACATGGTAATATATACCTAGAATGTACTTGAGGGCCTAGTCTCAAATCTGCACACTACCATTATAGCATACTGGAGTGAGAAATATAGAAGGAAGTGCAAAATGAACCCGGTGAAAAGCAGGGTCACTGTGGACACAATGAGAGAGCATTTAATCATCTGTGGCCACAGACTATATATCATCTTACCAGAAGATATCAGAAACACTGCTGGGACAAATGTAGAAGTCTTCAAGAAGAAACTGCATAAGTATTTCCACTAGTTGCCAGATTAACTTGGCTGTGATAGATATGTGGGCCAGCAGGCCACCAGAAGCAAGTACCAGACAAGCCTGGCCCAAGCACAGGCTCTGAGAGGAGAAAAACTCAAAACTCATCAGAGTACCACACATATGCATATGTATGGACTTTCTAAACAGATTGAGCTGTACATGTGATGTATCAGAGATATACAGTACTTATTCCTTGTATTGTGTCAGTGTTCTCTTGCAACTGTCAATCAGGTAACTGAAAATATTCATGATTTATTGTCATCGTTATAATTCTATCACTTCATAAAATGTGCTTCATTGATCTGAAATAAATTAATTTAAATTATCTCGAATTATCTAATGCCCATTTACAACCTGTCTCATTGTGCACAATATTGAAATTCCTTGTCAACAGTTCTTTGGAATGAACTACTTGTGCTGCATTGAAACACATCGCATAAAATTAAATGCTAGAATTATGATTAAGTAGTATGTAAGTTTTAGGATTAGTTTGCCAGAATTATTATTTTTTTTTTTTATCACACTGGCCGATTCTCACCAAGGCAGGGTGGCCCGAAAAAGAAAAACTTTCACCATCATTCACTCCATCACTGTCTTGCCAGAAGGGTGCTTTACACTACAGTTTTTAAACTGCAACATTAACACCCCTCCTTCAGAGTGCAGGCACTGTACTTCCCATCTCCAGGACTCAAGTCCGGCCTGCCGGTTTCCCTGAATCCCTTCATAAATGTTACTTTGCTCACACTCCAACAGCACGTCAAGTATTAAAAACCATTTGTCTCCATTCACTCCTATCAAACACGCTCATGCATGCCTGCTGGAAGTCCAAGCCCCCTCGCACACAAAACCTCCTTTACCCCCTCCTCCAACCTTTCCTAGGCGCCCCCTACCCCGCCTTCCTTCCACTACAGACTGATACACTCTTGAAGTCATTCTGTTTCGCTCCTTTCTCTCTACATGTCCGAACCACCTAAACAACCCTTCCTAAACCTCTGGACAACAGTTTTGGTAATCCCGCACCTCCTCCTAAATTCCAAACTACGAATTCTCTGCATTATATTCACACCACACATTGCCCTCAGACATGACATCTCCCCTGCCTCCAGCCTTCTCCTCGCTGCAACATTCATCACCCACGCTTCACACCATATAAAAGCGTTGGTAAAACTATACTCTCATACATTCCCCTCTTTGCCTCCCAAGGGCAAAGTTCTTTGTCTCCACAGACTCCTAAGTGCAAACCCCTCACTCTTTTTTCCTCATCAATTCTATGATTCACCTCATCTTTCATAGACCCATCCGCTGAACGTCCACTCCCAAATATCTGAATACGTTCACCTCCTCCATACTCTCTCCCTCCAATCTGATATTCAATCTTTCATCACCTAATCTTTTTTTTATATCTCATAACCTTACTCTTTCCTGTATTTCACCTTTAATTTTTTTCTTTTGCAACCCTACCAATTCATCACCAAATCTCTGCAACTTCCCCTTCGAATTTTCCCCAAGAGCACAGTGTCATCAGCAAAGAGCAGCTGTGACAACTCCCACTTTGTGTGTGATTCTTTATCTTTTAACTCCACACCTCTTGCCAAGACCCTCGCATTTACTTCTCTTACAACCCCATCTATAAATATATTAAACAACCCGGTGACATCCCACATCCTTGTCTAAGGCCTACTTTTACTGGGAAAAAATTTCCCTCTTTCCTAAATACTCTAACTTGGCCTCACTATCCTCGTAAAAACTCTTCACTGCTTTCAGTAACCTACCTCCTACACCATACACTTGCAACATCTGCCACATTGCCCCCTATCCACCCTGTCTACGCCTTTTCCAAATCCATAAATGTCACAAAGACCTCTTTAGCCTTATCTAAATACTGTTCACTTATATGTTTCACTGTAAACACCGGGTCCACACACCCCTGCCTTTCCTAAAGCCTCCTTGTTCATCTGCTATCCTATTCTCCATCTTACTCTTAATTCTTTCAATTATAACTACCATACACTTTACCAGGTATACTCAACAGACTTATCCCCCTATAATTTTTGCACTCTCTTTTATCCCCTTTGCCTTTATACAAAGGAACTATGCATGCTCTCTGCCAATCCCTAGGTACCTTACCCTCTTCCATACATTTATTAAATAATTGCACCAACCACTCCAAAATTATATCCCCACCTGCTTTTAACATTTCTATCTTTATCCCATCAATCCCGGCTGCCTTACCCCCTTTCATTTTACCTACTGCCTCACGAACTTCCCCCACACTCACAACTGGCTCTTTCTCACTCCTACAAGTTTGCCAGAAATGCTTTGCGTATTAAGTGGCTTTCTTTTAACTATGCAGATGTATCAAATTTTATACTGTTTGTATCATAGTACAACAGTAACCAAATGAATTGTAAACTCAATCACTAACTTCTACATATGCTTCTTCGAAATAGATTTTTATTAGATTTTTTTAAATGCTGTTACCTACATAGTACTAATGAAATTTCATTTCTGCATTACTACCTTATATCATGCCTCAATTTACTATACTTATTAGGTATTTTTTATTCACTATACTCACAGCTGTTCCAAGTTGCCTATGTACTGCTCAAGATGGGAAACTCTCCACGTCCTGGTGTCTGGGTCCTGGAACGCTCGGTGGACAATGGAGAAACTTATACACCATGGCAATATTTTGCTGATAATCCAGGGTAAGACAGTTTGTGCTGTATTGTTTGAATTAAAATATAATATATATTTTACTGAAAACTACTGTACCCTTGGGAGGTCATTTAGCACTGTCAGGTAAGGTGGACTCTTCAAGGGGGATGATGCCTTGATGCTGGAGAAGGATTTATGATTGAAGGAACAGGAGCTTGCCTTTCCTTCCTCAGATTAAACATGGTTGCCTCCACCATATCAAAGGAGCCACTCCCATTCCCCAAATGCTGTAAGACTCTCTATGAGTTCATTATTTCCCTATGAATATAATATAAATACAGATATAAAATAAAGGATTCACAATAACACATTTGCAAAGAAATCACTGAATGGGTGGGTTTGAACTTATGACCAAGTGGTTAACACATTGGCCTGTGAATTTTAGGACTTGCTTACCATGAGTCTTCTACTGCAGCCAGCCTGGGGCCCGGCTGATTATTTGTTTGTCTGGTCAGCCAGGTTATTGCATACTTAGTTAACCAGGTTATTTCTTGGCTGGTCAACCAGATTATTGCTTGCCTGGTCAGCCAAGTTATTGCTTGTCAGGTCAGCCAGGTTATTGCTTGCCTGGTCAGTCAGGTTATTGCTTGCATGGTCAGTCAGGTTATTGCTTACTTGGTCAACCAGATTATTGCTTGCCTGTCCAGACAGGTTATTACTAGCCTGGTTAACCAGGTTATTGCTTGCCTGGTCAATCAGGTTATTGCTTACTTGGTTAACCAGGTTATTGCTTGCTTGGTCAGCCAGGTTATTGCTTGGTCAGCCAGGTTATTGCTTACCTGGTCAGCCAGGTTATTGCTTATCTGGTCAACCAGGTTATTGCTTTCCTGTTTAACAAAGCTATTGCTGTCAGTTAGCTGGCCCATATATCCCACAGCCTGGTTGATCTGGAACATGGCAAGGATAATGATCAAGTTTCCTCTTAAAGGCTTCTACACTTATTCCAGCAATATTTCTGATATCTGCTGTCAGACAGATGAAGAGTTGCAGTCCACAGATGTTGATAGTGTTTTATCATGCCCATGGCATCTCTACTTTTCACTGGGTTTATTTTACACTAGGCTCTCACGTATCTTCCACATACATGTATGTACATTCTACATTTGTGTTTTTTACCTCAAAAACAGCACAAGGGAAAGAGGTAATGTGACATGAAAAGAGTATAAATGCTTTCACTGTCACTCATTCACTGTTTTGCATGATTCTGGCAAGACAGTGCTTAAATGAGTGATAAAATGTTTCCTCCTTTTTTTTTTTTAAGAGGTCGCCCTATTTTAATGGGAGATGATCAATGTATTAAAATATCTCTCTCCCCTCTTCAGAGAGTATACATACTACGTATTTTAAGGTGCCCTTTGCACTTTAAATGCTTTATTGGCTCTATGTGGGTGGTAAATCTCTGTATTTCTTTCCAGTAGCTCTTCCTCCATTCCATGAATGCCTCAGCTCATACTTTATAAAGAGCACAAAGATAATGGCAATACCATATCATTTGAAGAATTCATTATTTCTGTGCTGCATAATTCGTATTTCACATAGTCCTGTTCCTCACTTTGGCTTGTTTACTATTGCATATCTATAAACATTGTGATTTTTTCACCCATATCTCACTGTCCAAAACATAGCTGCTTGCATGTGTTACTGTAAATACAGTGGAATCTCTACTTATGGGTTTAATCCGTTCCATGACCTTGCTCGCAACTGGATTTGCTCGTTTGCGGAGTCAATTTTCCTCATTTAAATTAATTGAAGTGGAATTAATTCGTTCCAGTGGAATTCTAGGCACGAGAAAATACTTTAATAATTTCCCTAATATGAACTCTACAGCTTATTTATCTCTCACAATTCATGTAATATGACATAATAAACAATATTAATAACATAGAAACATGATATATACACTAGAATGAATAAAATACATGTCATTAGGTATGTGGATGGTGGTGGTGACAGCAGCCATTGTTGTTGGGATTTATAGAGCCACCACAGTGGCCATTCCTCCTGCTGACTACATGTGTTGAGAAACTAGGATAACCCAAAAAAGTCAGACAGAGTGACTTAAAAGTGCTACACTCTTAATGCTTCACTTAATTGTTACACTCTTAATGCTGCACTTAATTGTTACACTCTTAATGCTACACTTTGCCACTGGTGCTTCATGTTGTCTGCCACTGCTGCTTCATGTTGTCTGCCACTGCTGCTTCATGTTGTCTGCCACTGCTACCTCATGTTGTCTTGTCACTGCTGCTTCATGTTGTCTGCCACAGCTACCTCATGTTATCTGCCACTGCTGCTTCATGTTGTCTGCCACTGCTGCTTCATGTTGTCTGCCACTGCTGGCTTTATTTTCTGCCACTGCTGCTTCATGTTGTTTTGCCACTGCTGCTTCATGTTGTCTGTCCGCTGCCCTTTATGTTGTCTGTCACGCCTACTTCATGTTGTCTGTCACTGCTGCTTCATATTGTCTGCCACTGCCACTTCATGTTGTCTGCCACTGCTGCTTCATGTTGTCTGCCACTGCTGCTTCATGTTGTCTGCCACTGCTGCTTCATGTTGTCTGCCACTGCTGCTTCATGTTGTCTGCCACTGCGCTTCATGTTGTCTGCCACTGCTGCTTCATGTTGTCTGCCACTGCTGCTTCATGTTCTCTGCCAAAGCGCTCATGTTGTCCCGCCACTGCTAACCTCGTGTCTGCCACTGCTGCTTCATGTTGTCTGCCACTGCTGCTTCATGTTGTCGCCACGCTGTTTTCATGTTGTCTCCCACTGCTGCTTAAATGTTTCGCCCGCTGCTTCATGTTTCCCCACTGCTGCTTCATTTGTTGCCACTGTCCTCATGTTGCTTGCCCCACTCTGCTTCATGTTGTCGCCACAGCTACCTCATTTTTACTGCCACTGCGCTTCATGTTGTCTGCCACTGCTACCTCATGTTTCTGCCACTGCTCTCATGTTTCTGCCACTCTGCTTCATTTTGTCTGCCACTGCTGCTTCATTTGTCGCCACTGCGTTCATGTTTGTCTCCCACTGCTGCTTCATGTTGCGCCACTGCTGCTTCATGTTGTCTGCCACTGCTGTTTCATGTTGTCGCCACTGCGCTTCAGTTGTCTTTCACGCTGTTTCATTTTGTCTCCCCACTGCTCCCTCATGTTTTTTGTCACTGCGCTTCATGTGTCCCCACTGCTACCTCATGTTACTGTCACTGCTGCTTTATTTTGTCTGTCACTGCTACTTCATGTTGTCTCCCCACTGCTACCTCTGTATCTGCCACTGCTGCTTCATGTTGTCGCCACTGCTACCCATTTTTGTCTCCACTGTACCTCATTTATCTGCCACTGCTGCTTCATGTTGCTGCCACTGCTACTCATTTGTCTGCCACTGCGCTTCATTTTTTGTCTGCCACAGCTCCCTCAAAATTTCTGTCATGCTGCTTCATTTTGTCTGCCACGCAACCTCATGTTCTGCCATGCTGCTTTCATGTTGTGTGCCACTGCGCTTCATGTTGTCGCCATTTTTGTTTTAATGTTGCTGCCATTGTTGCTTCATGTTGTTGCACTGCGCTTCATGTTGTCGCCAGGGGTACCTCATGATGTTTACACTGATGTCGCCAAAAATCAAACTTTTTTCTCTTTTTTTGAGCTCATTTCAAGGTACTTTTCAAACCGGGAAACCTTTAAAATCAAAAATTTTGTAGTATATCTTCCATTTTTTTTTTACTAACCCAAATAAAACGAGAATACAACCTAAAAAAAAAATACGAAAAAATACCTCAAGGGGGCTAAAAGCTAAAAAGGGCTCCATTCTTTATGGTCCGTTTCTTTCATTTTTGGTGTAGTTTTAAAAAAACATCTTTTTATCAACATTGCCCAAGTTTCAATAAATGTCCAAAAAACAACTGAGATCCAGTTCCCCCAGATCAAAAGGCAGGAGCCCCCTCACCAGTGTGAATTACCTCCTTTGAGCCGCTCGCATCTGGGAAAATTTTTCTCGTTCGGAAGCAAAAAATCAACCGAGCACTCTCATATCTGGAAAAAAATCGCACGTGGAAGCACCAAAAGGTCCCTCACTCCAAACATACCATTGCTTCTGTGGACCCCATTACTTTTGTTAAATAGGTATTTTTGTTGGGTTTTTAGATTCCCAGTTTCTAAAGAAAAAAAGAGGATTTAAGATGCTTGAGTTTAGTTTGGGTTTTGTTAGTATGATAGTTGTAGTATAATCTGTTGCACAGTAATTAGTGTTACTGAATTTCATCCACTAACTGGGATGCATTTAATCTCGATAAATGTTAAAGGCTAATTTTGCTGTTTTTATTAATAATTATGTAGTGCATGTAGTTTATAATGAATTGTGGTAGCTGTGTTCTCTAAATTTATGTTCATTGTAAAGAATTTATGAAAATAAAGTTCAGAAAACTTGAATTTTATGGATAATTTTTCTAACACTCATTTTTAAGTTGATAGTTTGATGATACCATAACAGCACCTAGACACTTCCTTATTTTACTGACCAGTCACATTCTGATGTGAGAATATCTTCACGAATGTTTGTGTTTGTTCTCATTTTAGGGACTGTGAAAGTTTCTTTGGAAAAGAGAGTTTGAGTCCAATCCAAGATGATGATGATGTAACTTGTATCACACACTTTTCTAAAGTGGTACCTTTGGAAGGTGGGGAGGTAAGTTATAGCTGGTTTTAAATGCAGTCTCCATGCTGTATATTGTAGTATTCTTTAACCCCTTCAGGGTCCAAGGCCCAAATCTGAAGTGGTGCCCCAGTGTCTCAAGAATTTTCAAAAAAAATTTTTTTATTTTTTCTTATGAAATGGTAGAGAATCTTTTTGTGAAGGTAATAAAACAAAAAGTACGAAATTTGATGGAAAATTGACGAAATTATGCTCTCGCGAATTTTGATGTGTCAGCGATATTTACGAATTGGCGATTTTGCCGAATTTGACTCCCATTTTAGGCCAATTATATTATTCCAGTCAACCAAATTCTTAGCAATTTCACTAGTATTACTTCTATTCTATCGATTGAGCACAAGAAATCGCCAAGTCAACTGTATCAACTAAAAAATTAAAGTGATCGGAAATTGTTAATTTGGCCAATGTAACACAAAGTTCAAAATATTCCAATTTCAAAATAGGGTCCAGAATAAACAATGTAGGTATTTCTGGAACTAAACTAACATTTCCTCTGTTCATTAGTTACATTTTGAGGCTTTACAAATAAATTCCATTTTGATTTTTTATTCACATAATGAATTTTTATTCACACCAAAAAATAGAAGATTTACTGTTATGCAATACTGTAATAATTGTATAAATATCATCACCATATTTGTGAATGCATATTAGACCCACCAGCTGGCGTGTATTAGACATGTGAGGTCGTTTGTTTACTCTTGAATATCGTCAAAAATTTAACATTTCTGCTACTTTGAGCTCAGTTTCAAGCCATTTCCAATGCTAAAACCAATCAAAATCATCTCTATTTTTGTAATATGTCTTCCATTCTATCAAATGAGACCAAGAAATCGCAAATACAACTATAAAAAAAAATACGAAAAAACACTGCAAAATCGCTGTTTTAATCGAAAAATCATGATTTCAGTTTTTTTCTCTCATTATACACAGTGTGCTGCAGGATCTGTTTTATGTGGTGCACACATACCACATAGATGTATTCTCTCATATCTTGGCCCAAATGTACCACTCACAGTTTATCAGAGTGAACTGAGCTCATGACGTAGATCTACGGTTTGGACCCTGAACGTAAAGCCGTAGATCTACGGGACGGACCCTGAAAGGGTTAAATTTATTTTATTTTTATGATTGCATGGATAAGGTGTTGTTTCTCAGATTGTTAGGTAAAAGGACACATTTGCAACTAATGTGTTATATTATTGTGCCAACAATAAAATGTCACATTAATTGCACGTGTGTCCTTTTACCTAACATATTATCGTTAATTCTACCAATATTATCACTTTTTTCAGATTGTTGTATCTCTTCTAAATAATAGACCATCAGCAAATAGTTTCTTCAATTCAACAGTTCTGCAAGAATTCACGAGAGCCACCAATGTTCGGCTTCGCTTATTGCGCACCAAAACTCTACTTGGTCACCTCATGTCTGTTGCAAGACAAGATCCAACTGTCACAAGAAGGGTAAGCAATTAACCTGTAATCTTCAGAATACTCTGCTGTATTCAATATATTTTTACCTATACTTTAAGACCTTCGTAATAGGTACTTCAGCTTTCCAAATACATATATGACTTATTTTTAACTATGAAAAATACATATGTATAATGCCTATAATATTCAAGTATAGAGGATAAATAAAAAATGTACTAATAAAATGGTAACGGTTTTGAGGAGGTGTATTTGTATGTCTTGATCACTGAAGCTCTCACTTCACATGGCGAGGATCTGCGTTCGATTCCCAGCGTGGGTAGAAACATTGTGTGTGTTTCTTTACGCTGGTTGTCTGTTAACCCATCAGTAAAATGGGTACCTGGGTGTTAGTCGACTGGTGTGGGTTGCATCCTGGGACAAGGACCTGATTTGCCCAAAATGCTTTCTATACAGTAGTATGTCATTGATGTCAGTTAGGCCTATATACCATGTACTGTACATGTACTTGCAGTAAATAAAGATGTTATTTTTTTTTTAAAAAACTCGGCCGTCTCCCACTGAGGCAGGGTGACCCAAAAAGAAAGAAAATCCCCAAAAAGAAAATATTTTCATCATCATTCAACACTTTCACCTCACTCACACATAATCACTGTTTTTGCAGAGGTGCTTAGAATACAACAGTTTAGAAGCATATACGTATGAAGATACACAACACATCCCTTCAAACTGCCTATATTCCAAACCCCTCCTTTAAAGTGCAGGCATTGTACTTCCCATTTCCAGGACTCAAGTCCAACTACATAAAAACCGGCTTCTCTGAATCCCCTCACTAAATATTACCCTGCTCACATTCCAGCAGCTCGTCAGGTCCCAAATACCATTCATCTCCATTCGCTCCTATCTAACGCGCTCACGCACGCTTGCTGGAAGTCCAAGCTCCTCACCCACAAAACCTTTACCCCCTCGTTCCAACCTTTTCGAGAGACAACCCCTACCCCGCCTTCCTTCTCCTATGGATTTATACGCTCTCCATGTCATTCTACTTTGATCCATTCTCTCTAAATGACCAAACCACCTCAACAACCCCTCTTAAGCCCTCTGACTAATACTTTTATTAACTCCACACCTTCTCCTAATTTCCACACTCCATATTTTCTGCATAATATTTACGCCACACATTGCCCTTAGACAGGACATCTCCATTGCCTCCAACTGCCTCCTCGCTGCAGCATTTACAACCCAAGTTTCACACCCATATAAGAGTGTTGGTACCACTATACTTTCATACATTCCCTTCTTTGCCTCCATAGATAACGTTTTTTGTCTCCACATATACCTCAACGCACCACTCGCCTTTTTTCCTTCATGAATTCTATGATTAACCTCATCCTTCATAAATCCATCTGCTGACACGTCAACTCCCAAATACGTATCTGAAAACATTCACTTCTTCCATACTCCTCCTCCCAAATTTGATATTCAATTTTCCTTTATCTAAATCATTTGATACCCTCATCACCTTACTCTTTTCTATGTTCACTTTCAACTTTGTACCTATTATTATTATTATTATTATTATTATTATTATTATTATTATTATTATTATTATTATTATGTACAGTACAAACATTGCAGTCCTACACATATAGAATGTGGTAATGTATGCATGCATTCGCAATGCATATTGTATTTGCATTAGTGTTTATGAGCTATACAGTTATGCAAATTAATATTTTTAATAATGTTATATGCTTTCACATCAAATGGAAAATAAACTTTAATTGACCTCTAGTACTCTTGCATCATGTGCATTTGTGACATTCAACAAACAAAATTAGTTTTAATCTCAAAATAGCTTCAATAAGGCAAATTATAAATTATATAATATGTAATTAAAAATGTATTTGTCCAGGCTCAAAATGCCATACAAAATAAAGGACTTTATATAAAGTTGTTTATACAGCACATGTCAATTACCCTAATTATGTATATAATGTACTGTACGATAGGAATAAAGTTTATTTTGTATAATGTGCTGTACTCCATTTAATAAGAATAACGTTTGTTTTGTTATGTATTTTAATTATTGAGGGTTGATGTGCAACTCTTAATATTATAGAAAATGACTATTTTACATGTTCTTTTCAGTATTTTTACTCCATCAAAGACATCAGTATTGGAGGAAGGTGTGTGTGCAATGGTCATGCTGATGTTTGTGATATAACAGATCCAAATGACTTGTACAAGTTGCAGTGTCGATGTCAGCACAACACTTGTGGTTCTCAGTGTGAGACTTGTTGCCATGGATTTATACAGAAAAAATGGAGACCAGCTAATTACCAAGATAGCTTTGTTTGTGAACGTAAGTAGTTCTTTTGCCAACACCATTGAGGTTCATGTTGATCTGGCCTTGACCCACCAGGAAGCCTAGTCTGGGACTGGGCTGCAAGGGCATTAACTTCTGATAACATCATTAAGGTATCCTGTTTCAGGTGTAAAATTTACTGAACCCATTTTGTTGGGATTGACTGATTTTGCAATTGCTTAACCCTTTGACTGTTTCGGTTGTATATATACGTCTTAAGAGCCACCGTGTTTGACGTGTATATACTCAAAAATTCTAGCGGCTTCAAATCAAGCAGGCGAAAGCTGGTAGGCCCACATGTGAGAGAATGGGTCTGTGTGGTCAGTTTGCACCATATAAAAAAAATCCTGCAGCATTCAGTGCATAATGAGAATTTTTTTTTTTTTTTTATTAAAATGCCAGTTTTGTGGTATATTTTCATATAGTATTTATGGTTGTATTCTCGTTTTCTTGGTCTCATTTGATAGAATGAAAAACATATAGAAATACTGATATTGATTGGTTTTACTATGAAAAGAACCTTGAAATAGAGCTCAAAGTAGGGGAAATGCTTGATTTTTGCCGATGTTCAAAAGTAAACAAATGATGTCATTGTCCAATAAATGTCCAACTAGCCATTCTAATAAGCAGTCATGAATGGGTTGACATTATTTATACAATTATTGCAGTATTCTGCATAACAGTAAATCTTCTGTTTTTTGTTTGAATACAAATTCAAAATAGAAAGCAAGAGTAATATCAGAGGGGCCTGGAGACATGACTGATGAACAAAGAAAATGTTATTTTAAAGCCAGGAATGTCTGCACTGTCCATTCTGGACCCTATTTTGAAATTGGCATATTTTTTAATTTGCGTGAAATTGGCCAAATTGCAAATTTCTGACCACGTTATTTAGTAGTTGAAATTGGTAAATGGAAGTTTCCTGTGCTCATTCGATAGAACAAATGAAGTTCTAAAGAAATAGCTATGAGTGTGGTCGACTGGAACAATGGAATTAGCCAAAAATAGGGCTCAAAGTGGGCGAAGTCGCCGATTCGTAAATATTGTCGAGGTCACTAACTTCGTGAGAGCATAATTCCACAAGTTTTCCATCAAATTTCGTTTTTTTGTTGTCATTACCATCGGGAAAAGATTTTCTATCATTTCGTAAGAAAAATATTTTTTTTTTTTTTCTCAAAAATTTTTCGACACCAGAAGACACCTCAGGACTTGGGGTTTCGACAGTCAAGGGGTTAAATATGCTTGTGCTAGTTTTGAGGTTAGATAATAGTGTAATAAGGAAGTACAGTAGTAAAATATGCTACCAAAGCACTAATCTGTTTCAGGGGCTAAATAACTGTAAGCTAATGGTAAAAGAATGTAATAAAACAATGCTGTAGTATATTGTGTGTGTAATGAGAGGCATTTCTAAAACTGGCAATACTGATTGGGGAAAGAAGCAAATGACCTAGTATATACAGTAGGGCCCCCACTTGTGTGTCAGGTTAGGTTTCAGGCTACTGCTGGAAAGCGGGCATCGCCGGAAAGCAGAACTCCATTTTTTCCAATTGTAAATGCACATAGATACCAGGTAACAAGTTTACACTAACATATTAAGTTAACAATAGAACTTGGCATTAAAAAACAATAAAAAGTAAAATACACACACAGTACACTCATTACTTACCTCAAAATATTTGTAGTCGTAATGTAGGGTGAGAGTTAAGTAGTATTTATTGTAAGAGGTCAGGTGTGGGAGGTATGGTAGCCCTCCTGGTCACCCTACCCACACATAATATGCTACGACATTTAAAGTGCCCTAGAGCGATAAAATACATATACAGTACACTCATTACTTACCTTAAAATATTTGTAGGTCTTAATGTAGGGTGAGAGGTGAGTAAAAGAGATAAAACGAATAAACGGGAGGGAGAGAATGAATAAATGAGAGAGGACAGAGACACGGAGTATGTAGACAAGCAGATGAACACGTCTGGTTATAGTTCATACATGTTCATTTCCATCTTTGTTTATGAGTGAGTAAATTTTTATTCAGGTACAGGTACACATAAATACAGTTACATAGATTATCATACATAGCAGCATATGTGTAGATTGCCTGGGATAACCCCCAAAAATAAAGTCAGACAGAGTGACTTATTTCCATTGGAGTGAACCTTATACCATAATATAAACACCTTACATTGTGTACAAGTTGTCTCCACATTGGTACTGTAGAATAAATAAAGAGCAATACTCCCATTTTCAGGTATCAAACCATTTTTAGAAGGAAAGAAGCTTTGAGGGAAGGCATACAAAAGGAATAATTTTCTACAGTTACTCCCAGTAATACTATTGTGTACACATTTTCTTTGGTGTTGAACTAGAGAAAACATTATTCTTTATGACACACTGACAAAACGACTGAAAAAATCTCAAATTTATGTTAATTTATTCTGCTGTGAGGTGTATTTATCATGTTTATATGTTATGTAGCATGTTTATTATATAATTTTGAAAAAAAAAAAATATTATAAATGGATTAATCAGAATGTATTAACATGATATATGACATTTAACGCTTAACCCGTAAACGGTCCAAACGTACATAGACGTTTTTTCAACATTTGAAAGTATGTAAAAAAAATAGATCTTCTTTTTGTTTTTCTACATTTGAAAATGTGTAAAAAACTTTGATCTACTTTTTTTTTTTGTTATACTTGAAAATATGTAAAAAAACCTTAGATCTACTTTTGTAGCACTACACATGTGAACATAGATCTTCTTGGACCGTTTACGGGTTAACAGTCCAAATATATATATATACGTTTTTTCAGCATTTGAGAGTATGTAAAAAAATGTACATCATCTTTTTTTTTTTTTCATTTGAAAATGTGTAGAAAAACTTTTATCTACATTTTTTTTTTGTTATATTTGAAAATATGTAAAAAAAACATAGATCTACTTTTGGAGCACTACGGATTTGAACGTCGATCTATTTGGACCGTTTAAGGGTTAATGCACCTAAGAGTGATTATTATTCCATTTTATCGCTATTATCATTATTAATGTGGCATCTTCAGGACTAATAAGACACCCTTAAAGGTTTTAATGTGTACCTGCATGCCAGCACAGTAAGTTTATTTAGGTACAGGTACACATAAATATAATTATCAGAGTATATATACATGTATATATGGAATATGAAATAACTTTAAAACACTTCAGATTTTGGAAAATTTTCAGACATAATGGAGAGAAGCTCACAGAGAATATAAACAAACCAGGTGGTGCACAGTGACCGTATTAGAGAGTGAGGTGGGGGGAGCCGTATAGAAAGGTTTGGTCATAATTTTAAATGTCTGTATTAGCAGAACACCATACAGTAAGGCCATACTGTAACGATTTCTACCTGACAGAGGTAGCCAATTCCAAAATATGGAACTGTTTAGGAAAATATACTGTATAAATACAGTAACACGAGGAATTTAAAAGTAAAAAATTATAATACAGATATCCCAGGAAAGGGAATTTTATCAATTTTTAATAGTTATACTTTCTGCCTAGGATGGGGAAAAGGTAGAGGGTAAAAAATATAAATTATATAGTGTTCACGTAAAAAATACAAGTACGTACAGTGGACCCCCGCTTTACGATCACCTCCCAATGCGACCAATTATGCAAGTGTATTTATGTAAGTGCGTTTGTACGTGCATGTTTGGGGGTCTGAAATGGGCTAATCTAATTCACAATATTCCTTATGGGAACAAATTCGTTCAGTATTGGCACCTGAACATACTTCTGGAATGGAATATTATCGTAAACCGGGGGTCCACTGTAAATAGATCTGAGGGGATAGCACATTTGCAATCCAAATTTTTTGGTATAGACCTAATCAGTTTTACCAGGTAGGTGTAATAATATTGTTGATAAGTTATATATATAATCAGAATGCTACCTGTGGAGGTGAAACTTAAGAGAATTTGGAAACATATTAAGGAAGATAAATATGCCTTGCACGACAGGTAACTTCAAGAATGCATGTCACTATGACTTTTCTCAAAATTGTCCAGTGAACTGGAAATGTATCTATGTTTGAGGATATGTTAGTAGCATTCCTCACAGCAGTCTCTGATACAAACACTCAGGATAGTATTATTCACCATTTGCAACTAGAGTTAAAGAATAACCTTTGGACTCATAATTATTTATAAAGTCCTTTTTTGATATAAATTCAAGTGGTCTGTTAGACTTATTAAAATACACTTAAGAACTGATACCTTGGTGTCAAGCTCTACATCTCTAAGCAGTGTCTTCTTGTCCTGTTTTTCTTTTTTGATAATCATTTCAGCCTTTGTCCAGTCCCTTTGATGTGCATACTTGTGTTAAAGTATTCTTGTGTAAAGGCTCCTTCACACAGGCGATGAGGCTGTTACTCCCATTGCTTCCTCTGAATATCTTAATAATAGTCTCTTGTGGTTGTAGTATGTACCCGTGTCACGTTCTTTTCATTCCTTCAATGGCTAATACCTTAAATGATGCTTCAGTGCTTTACAGTACTTATACAGTATTGGATGTACTGTATATTGCAGATTTTATGGTAAACTTGTGAATTAAGTGATGCCTTCTAGTCCCAGTAAGTAGTTTCTAGTCCTAGTCTGTCTGGATTAATGAGCTTTGATTGTACAGTAGACCCTCATATTACACAGTAGTTACGTTCCTGAAAATGCTGTGTTAGATAAATCTGTGTAAAGTAAACTGAAGAACTCATGGGGAAAATAGGGTCACGTTCCTGGGATCCCTCCAAAAGCCAAGTGACTTTTTTTTTTTTTTTTTAGACATCTAGATCTTAAAAAATAAAAACAATAATTTTGTGTTTGTTGCTTAAGACTACAGATGCAACAGAAATAATATTATTTATCTTAAATTGTGGTTTCTGGTGTATGTCAGTGATTGTGAAGAGAGTGGAGATGTATGGTGTGGCCCTACTGGGCTGAGGCGGATGGTTGTTAGTTGTCGGCAGAAGTGGATGGTTGAGGCTTGGTACTAAAGTCGATGTATTAGAGTGTGCAGAAATTCTGTAATGGATCTCTGGCTTCTTTTACCCTACTGGGTTGGAGTCCGAGTCCATTGATTCAACTTGCTTTTCCATCACTTTTCTTGTGTAGTTATGCTTGAATGACTTAACTCCCTGATCCAGTGGTTGTATTAAAGATGTTGTATATAGAGGTAAAAATACAACCTTTACATGTGGGGTCACGTCCAGCAAAGCATCTGGATGAGTATGGGAATTATCAAGAATGAAGAGAGCCTTGAATGCAAGGTTCTTCCTGTGCAGGTAAAACTTAACTCCAGGAATAAAATGATGCTTAAACCAATCAATAAATATTTCCTCTGTCATCCATGCTGACTGGTTTGACCTCTAAATTACTGGTAAGGGGTTTTTATCTACACCTTTCAAAGCACGAGGATTCTTAGAGCAGTAAATAACCTCACCTGACGTATTACTGCAAAGGACTAAGGTGAAGCGATTCTTTGCTGCCTTGAAGCCTGGTGCAGCCTTGTGGAGACAGTGGTCTCACCCACAGCCAGGTGGTGGCCTGAGCTAGGGAAATATCCCATGGGGGATGCTACGAATTTTTTCCCCTTCTGCAAACTGAACCGTGTTAAGTTAATTTTATGAAGTGTAGTATAAAATTATGCTGCAATCTTTCATTAGTGCAATAACCAAAATGTGCCAAATAAATACATGTAATATGAGGGTCTAGTGTATATTTAGGTCACACATAATTGATGCTTTAAAAAATCTAACTATTAGTTATTCATTCCACAAAGCTAGTTATGTAAGTATATCTTGTGTTTGCATGACTTGTGACTGGTTTTGAGTTTTTTTTCACCCTCACAGCCCAGCCTGAATCTATACATACTTCTCTGTTGACAGACTGTTCAGTTAGGCTGTTGCTGCCTGATCAACCAGGCTGTGCTAGTAGTGATCTAGTTACATCTGACAATATTTCTTACATCTGTTTGTATCAGGTTGAATTGTCATAGATCATGGACATTAACCCTGAAACGGTCCAAATAGATCAACGTTCAAATCCGTAGTGCTCCAAAAGTAGATCTATGTTTTTTTTTACACATTTTCAGATGTAAAAAAGAAAAGATGATGTACATTTTTTTACATACTTTCAAATGTTGAAAAAAATGTATATACACGTTCGGACCATTTAAGGGTTAACAACCTTCTTTGATTTTGGACATGGCACATTCCACACTTTCTCCTGTATCTCTCATTACATTATTATTGTAGTGCAGATTGCAGATGTGACTTTTAATTTTATTTTTGATAAATCTTTATTCAGATTAAGTATTGCCTAAAGTATTACTTTTAAGTAAAGTATAAAATTTTCTTTCAGCCTGTAACTGCTATGGCCATACAGATGAGTGCATTTACAGTGAAGAAGTAGATAAACAAAGACTTTCTCGGGACATCTATGGCCAGTTTGAAGGTGGTGGTGTGTGTCAAAACTGTCAACACAATACTGAGGGTATCAACTGTGACCAATGCAGGTCTGGCTATTATAGACCCTATGAAAAAGAACTCAATGATACTGATGTCTGCCAACCCTGCGACTGTAATGTGTTCTACTCAACTGGGAATTGCGCACAAGGAACCGGGCAATGTGAATGTCGGCCAGAATTTCTACCACCACTTTGTAATGCCTGTAATGATGGTTACTATGATTATCCTAATTGTAAGCCTTGTGACTGTCATAGAAGTGGCACCATTGGTGGTGTTTGTGAGGTGGGTGGTGGGCAGTGTCCATGCAAGGATAATTATGAAGGACTCAACTGTAACCAGTGTGCTCCTAACTTTTATAACTTCCCAGATTGCTTACCATGCAATTGCAGTGAAATTGGATCATTAGACAACAATTGTGATGTAAAAACTGGACAGTGCAACTGTAAAAATGAATTTGGAGGCCGTACCTGTGATCGATGTGAACATGGCTACTATGATCATCCTACCTGTACTTGTAAGTACTCTTACAAATATCACATTGTTATTGCTCTTTAGAAACAGTGCAGCAGAATAGGAGGACTAAGAGGGTGTATAAAGTAAGGATGGAAGGAAGGTGGGATAGGGATCATTCCAGTAAGGGTTGGAAGGAAGCAATAAAGGTGACTTTGAGTTCTAAGGGGTTAAGCATCCAACAAGCTTCTGTAAGTGTGTTAGACTGAAAGTGAGTGAAGACAAGTAGTTTTCATGGCCTGATGTGCTTTAGGAGTGTGAGCAAGGTAACAATCATGTAGAGATTCAGAAAAACTAGCTAGTCAGACTTGAATTCTGGTGGTGGGAAGTACAGTGCCTTTACTCTCATGGAGGGGGTGGGAATGTTGCATTTCAGAATGCTAATTGAATTGTGATATCTGGGCACCTCTAACAAAACTGAATAATGGTGAATGTATTGTACTTCCTTTGAGTCACCCTACCTTGGTGGGTCAAAAAAAAATCTTGTGTGAAAGACTTCAGATTATCATATTTGAATTAAAGTACTATAAACACTACAGTAAAAAGTGAGAAACATCTTCAACAGGAAAATAAAACTGGTAAAAAGAGATCTGTATATTTGGGCCTGAGTCACACGCTGAAATATACAAGTCTCTTTTGCCTGTACATATTTCATTTTACTGTCCAAGGGGTTTCTCACTTTACTGTCATACACAAGCTAATTATTGTTTTTTCCACCAGTCTGTAACTGTGATGCTCAAGGCACTGAAGAGGAAATCTGTGACAAGGGCACTGGAGAATGCCTGTGCTTGAGTGGGTTCAGTGGTAATCGTTGTGATAGTAGTGCTCCAGGGTTCTGGGGATATCCTCTCATTCAGAGCTGTGGATGTCATGAGAGAGGTTCAGCATCATCCATCTGTGATGCATCTGGAGACTGTGCCTGCCTACCTGGCTTCTCTGGTCGAGCTTGTAATCAGTGCAGCCCTGGATACTACAGTTTTCCTGATTGTATTCCATGTAATTGTGATCAGGCAGGAAGTATTGGTATTTCTTGTAACAGAGAAGGAAAATGCCAGTGCAAGCCAAACTATAGTGGAGTTCATTGTGATACGTGCCATGAAGGTTTCTACAATTTTCCTTTATGTGAAGGTAAGTTAGAATATTACTGTTATTAATGACATTAAACCAGTTTGCTCTTCAGATACCAAAGATTTATGTCTTTGCCAAGTATGTGTTACTGACATACCTAATGATTAGGGTTTAGGTTTGTTTCTTGACATTGTTTTTCGAATTTTAAGGATTTGCATTTTGGTTTACACTTCCTGGTACTACTAATCTTGGCTCTAACCATGTGAAAACTTGTGAATACTAAATACAGTAGAGCCCCACTTGTACGGCAGGCTAGGTTTCAGGCTACTGCCGGAGAGCGGACATTGCTGGAAAGCAGAACACCATTTTTTTTCCACTTTAAATGATATAAATGCCAGATAACAAGTTTACACTAGCATGTATTAAGTTAGCAATAGAACTAGGTATTAAAAAACAATAAAAAGTAAAATACATACACAGTACACTCATTACTTAAAATATTTGTAGTCTTAATGTGGGGTGAGAGGTGAGTAGTATTTACTGTAAGAGGTAAGGCATGATAGTCAAGTGGGGTAGGTATGGCTACCTGGCGGGGTAGAAATATTTTGACATGTTTCCTTAGACCTGTTGTCCTGTTCACCTAGCAGCAAGTAGGTACCTGGGTGTTAGTTGACTGGTGTGGGGTCGCATCCTGGGAGACAAGATTGAGGACCCCAATGGAAATAAGACAGACAATCCTCAATGACACACTGCCTTTCTTGGGTTATCCTCGGTGGCTAACCCTCCAGGGTTAAAAATATGAACGAAATCTTATCTTATTTAAAGCGCCCTAGAGTAATAAAATGCGTATACAGTACACTTATTATTTACCTGAAAATATCTGTAGTCTTCCGAGGTAGTAGGTTGGTAAACAGCAGCCATCTTGGGAGGTACTACCGTCCTGCCAAGTGAGTGTAAAATGGAAGCCTGTAATTGTTTTACATGATGGTAGGATTGCTGGTGTCCATTTTTCTGTCTCATAAACATGCAAGATTTCAGGTAAGTCTTGCTACTTCTACTTACACTTAGGTCACACTACACATACTTGTACAAGCATATATATACACACCCCTCTGGGTTTTCTTCTATTTTCTTACTCATTCTTGTTCATGTTTATCTCCTCTTATCTCCATAGGAAAGTGGAACAGAATTCTTCCTCCATAAGCCATGTGTGTTGTAAGAGGCAACTAAAATGCCAGGAGCAAGGGGCTAGTAACCCTTTCTCCTGTATAAATTACTAAATTTAAAAAGAGAAATTTTTGTTTTTCTTTTTGGGCCACCCTGCTTCGGTGGGATATGGCCGGTTTGTTGAAAGAAAAAAAAGAAAGTTTCCTTAGACCTGTTGTCCTGTTCACCTAGCAAATAATAGAGCCTACTAGACTGGAGAATACACTAGACCTCATCTTCACTAACAATGATGATCTGATAAGAAATGTCACCATATCAAAAACAATATACTCAGATCACAACACAATTGAGGTTCAGACATGTATGCGTGGAGCCCCAGACCGACATAATGAGACTAGTCACGAGGGAGCATTCACCAAATTCAACTTCAATAACAAAAACATAAAGTGGGACCAAGTAAACCAAGTCCTAACCGATATAAGCTGGGAAGATATACTAAGCAACACAGACCCCAACGTATGCCTAGAACAGATTAACTTGGTGGCACTTGATGTATGCACAAGGCTTATTCCTCTAAGAAAAAGGAGGAGTAGATGTAAAATAGAAAGAGACAGGCGCTCCCTTTACAGGCGACGGAAAAGAATAACAGAGCGGCTAAAAGAGGTCAATATATCTGAAATGCGTAGGGAGACACTGGTCAGAGAAATAGCAAGCATCAAACTCAAGCTAAAGGAATCTTATAGGAGTCAGGAATCGCGGGAAGAACTAAAAGCCATAAATGAAATCGAAAGAAACCCAAAGTATTTCTTCTCCTATGCCAAATCAAAGTCGAGAACAACATCCAGTATTGGGCCCCTACTTAAACAAGATGGGTCCTACACAGATGACAGCAAGGAAATGAGTGAGCTACTCAAGTCCCAATATGACTCAGTTTTTAGCAAGCCACTAACCAGACTGAGAGTCGAAGATCAAAATGAATTTTTTATGAGAGAGCCACAAAATTTGGTTAACACAAGCCTATCCGATGTTATCCTGACGCCAAATGACTTCGAACAAGCGATAAATGACATGCCCATGCACTCTGCCCCAGGGCCAGACTCGTGGAACTCCGTGTTCATCAAGAACTGCAAGAAGCCCCTATCACGAGCCTTTTCCATCCTATGGAGAGGGAGCATGGACACGGGGGTCGTCCCACAGTTACTAAAAACAACAGACATAGCCCCACTCCACAAAGGGGGCAGTAAAGCAACAGCAAAGAACTACAGACCAATAGCACTAACATCCCATATCATAAAAATCTTTGAAAGGGTCCTAAGAAGCAAGATCACCACCCATCTAAAAACCCATCAGTTACACAACCCAGGGCAACATGGGTTTAGAACAGGTCGCTCCTGTCTGTCTCAACTATTGGATCACTACAACAAGGTCCTAAATGCACTAGAAGATAAAAATAATGCAGATGTAATATATACAGACTTTGCAAAAGCCTTCGACAAGTGTGACCATGGCATAATAGCGCACAAAATGCGTGCTAAAGGAATAACAGGAAAAGTCGGTCGATGGATCTATAATTTCCTCACTAACAGAACACAGAGAGTAGTCGTCAACAGAGTAAAGTCCGAGGCAGCTACGGTGAAAAGCTCTGTTCCACAAGGCACAGTACACGCTCCCATCTTGTTCCTCATCCTCATTTCCGACATAGACAAGGATGTCAGCCACAGCACCGTGTCTTCCTTTGCAGATGACACCCGAATCTGCATGACAGTGTCTTCCATTGCAGACACTGCAAGGCTCCAGGCGGACATCAACCGAATCTTTCAGTGGGCTGCAGAAAACAATATGAAGTTCAACGATGAGAAATTTCAATTACTCAGATATGGTAAACACGAGGAAATTAAATCTTCATCAGAGTACAAAACAAATTCTGGCCACAAAATAGAGCGAAACACCAACGTCAAAGACCTGGGAGTGATCATGTCGGAGGATCTCACCTTCAAGGACCATAACATTGTATCAATCGCATCTGCTAGAAAAATGACAGGATGGATAATGAGAACCTTCAAAACTAGGGAGGCCAAGCCCATGATGACACTCTTCAGGTCACTTGTTGTATCTAGGCTGGAATATTGCTGCACACTAACAGCACCTTTCAAGGCAGGTGAAATTGCTGACCTAGAAAATGTACAGAGAACCTTCATGGCGCGCATAACAGAGATAAAACACCTCAATTACTGGGAGCGCTTGAGGTTCCTGAACCTGTATTCCCTGGAACGCAGGCGGGAGAGATACATGATTATATACACCTGGAAAATCCTAGAGGGACTAGTACCGAACTCGCACACGAAAATCACTCACTACGAAAGCAAAAGACTTGGCAGACGATGCAACATCCCCCCAATGAAAAGCAGGGGTGTCACTAGCACGTTAAGAGACCATACAATAAGTGTCAGGGGCCCGAGACTGTTCAACTGCCTCCCAGCATACATAAGGGGGATTACCAACAGACCCCTGGCAGTCTTCAAGCTGGCACTGGACAAGCACCTAAAGTCGGTTCCTGACCAGCCGGGCTGTGGCTCGTACGTTGGTTTGCGTGCAGCCAGCAGCAACAGCCTGGTTGATCAGGCTCTGATCCACCAGGAGGCCTGGTCACAGACCGGGCCGCGGGGGCGTTGACCCCCGGAACTCTCTCCAGGTAAACTCCAGGTAAACCCCTCTGGGTTTTCTTTTATTTTCTTTCTAGTTCTTGTTTATCTCCTCTTACCTCCATGGGGAAGTGGAACAGAATTCTTCCTTTGTAAGCTGGGAGCAAGGGGCTAGTAACCCCTTCTCCTGTATGTATTACTAAATGTAAAAGGAGAAACTTTCATTTTTCCTTTTAGGCCACCCCACCTCGATGGGATACGGCCGGTGTGTTGAAAGAAACGTAGATCTGTAGTCTTAATGTAGCGTGAGAGGTGAGTAAATAAGATGCAACAAATGAATGAGAGAGAGAGAGAACAAGTAAATGAAAGAGAACAGAGCCACAGAGTCTGTAAACAAGCAAACGAACGTGTCTGGTTATGGTTCATACACGTTCATTTTCATGTTTGTGAAGCTTATATCATAATATAAACACCTTACATTGTGTACAAGTTGTCTCTTCGTCGGTACAGTAGAATAAATAAAAAGCAACACTCCCATTCTCATGTAACGCACCATTTTTAGAAGGAATGGCACTGTGTAGTATGATTCACTTCAAATCTTCAATGTAAACTTATGCCATACTGTGCACAATCTTTTCACATGCTTTGATGTACAGGGACCTGGGCATATGCAATGTGGAGATTCCTTTCTTGGATTGCACAGCAGCTGAAATACATCTAGTTTTTGCTACTTTTCATATTCAATTTTAATTTTCTTTCCAGATTCCCTTGTAATATATAATTAACTTTTCATATTTGGTTAAGGATATTTTGTTTGAAGTAAATATTCTCTTTCTTCAGAATGTAATTGTAACCCAGCTGGTGTACTAGAGACCTTTGGTGGCTGTGGTGATGCTCCAGTTGGTGAGTTATGTCAGTGTAAGGAGCGTGTCACGGGACGTATATGTGACCGCTGTAAACCACTCTTCTGGGACCTGAGGCAAGACAACCCTCTAGGCTGTGATGATTGTGGCTGCTACTCTCCAGGCACAGTTGGTGGGATGGCATCGTGTGAGTCTGAAACTGGCCAGTGTTTCTGCAAGCCAGGAGTAATTTCTCGTCGGTGTAATGAATGTCGAGATGGCTCATATAATTTGATTGAGGATAATTTGTTCGGGTGTTCTGACTGTGGCTGTAACCCAGGTGGTTCAGTGGATAATGTATGTGATAAAAATACTGGACAGTGTCGGTGCAGACCACGTGTTACAGGCCAGCATTGTGACCAGCCACTTCAGCTTCATTATTTTCCTACACTCTACCAGCTGAAGTTTGAAGCAGAAGATGGCCACACCCCTCATAACACAGCAGTAAGGTAAACAAAAATTCTCAATGTATATTTCCATTCTTGTAGTTTATCATTTCAGTTGTAGCCATCTCTAAACGTAATATTCTGACTTGCTCTATTCCCATGCATGAAATTAATCCCAGGTAGTCTTCCGTATTCTATTTCCATGAAATTGGTTGCCTTCCCATCACTTTAAAACCATTTTTCACCTGTGTATCCTCCTTGGATGAATACCATCAACTCATAATTAACCAAAAATTTGGAGATCAAATAATGTTTAAGTGGAATATGAACAAAAAAAGCCTTTTAATATTTTCTCCAAAATTACTTTTTTATGAAGTTTACATGAACATTTCTTGAAATATTCACTCTGATCTTAGTAATTAGTCATAATTGATATGATTTGCTATTTTTCTTGAAATGGGGATTACTGTATTTTGTGTCTTTAAAGTGGAAACATACCATCATGGACCTCAACCCTTTCAGGGTCCCCAGGCCCTCTCCCAGACTTGTTTTCAGGGTTGCCCAAATTTAAAAAAAAAATAAAAAAAATTTTTCTTATGAGAAGATCGAGAATCTTTTCCCGATCATAATGGCACCAAAAATATGAAATTTGATGGAAAACTTATGGAATTATGCACTCGTGAAGTTAGCAGTCTCGACGATGTTTAGGCATCGGCAATTTTGCCCACTTTGAGCCCTATTTTTGGCCAATTCCAGTGAACTAGTCGACAAAAATCATAACTATTTCGCTAGAATTCCATTTTTTTCTATCGAAGGAGTACAAGAAACCACCCATTTACCGATTTCAACTATCCAATACAGTGGTCAGAATTTAGCAATTTTACCAATTTCACACAAATTTCAAAAGATGCCAATTTCCAAATAGGGTTCAGAATAAACAAGAAAGACATTCCTGGCACTAAAATAACATTTCCTCTGTTCATTAGTCACGTCCACATGCCCCTCTTACATTCTTTTGCTTTCCACTTTGAATTTTTATTCTAACAAAAAATAGAAGATTTACTGTTATGCAGACTACTGCATTAGTGTAGAAATGGTATAAATAATATCGGCGCACTTTTTTTTTTTTCTTCAACAAGTCGGCCGTCTCCCACCGAGGCAGGGTGACCCAAAAAAGAAAGAAAATCCCCAAAAAGAAAATACTTTCATCATCATTCAGCACTTTCACCTCACTCACACATAATCACTGTTTTTGCAGAGGTGCTCAGAACACAACAGTTTAGAAGCATATACATATAAAGATACACAACATATCCCTCCTAACTGCTAATATCCCAAAACCCCTCCTTTAGAGTGCAGGCATTGTACTTCCCATTTCCAGGACTCAAGTCCGGCTATATAAAAACCGGTTTCCCTGAATCCCTTCACTAAATATTACCCTGCTCACACTACAACAGATCGTCAGGTCCCAAATACCATTCGTCTCCATTCACTCCTATTGAACATGCTCATGCACGCCTGCTGGAAGTCCAAGCCCCTCGCCCACAAAACCTCCCTTACCCCATCCTTCCAACCTTTTTGAGGACGACCCCTACCCTGCCTTCCTTCTCCTACAGATTTAAATGCTCTCCATGTCATTCTACTTTGATCCATTCTCTCTAAATGACCAAACCACCTCAACAACCCCTCTTCAGCCCTCTGACAAATACTTTTATGAACTCCACACCTTCTCCTAATTTCCACACTCCGAATTTTCTGCATAATATTTACACCACACATTGCAATGGGCTAGTAACCCCTTCTCCTGTATACATTTACTAAAAAAGAGAAGAAGAAAAACTTTATAAAACTGGGATGCTTAAATGTGCGTGGATGTAGTGCGGATGACAAGAAACAGATGATTGCTGATGTTATGAATGAAAAGAAGTTGGATGTCCTGGCTCTAAGCAAAACAAAGCTGAAGGGGGTAGGAGAGTTTCAGTGGGGGGAAATAAATGGGATTAAATCTGGAGTATCTGAGAGAGTTAGAGCAAAGGAAGGGGTAGCAGTAATGTTAAATGATCAGTTATGGAAGGAGAAAAGAGAATATGAATGTGTAAATTCAAGAATTATGTGGATTAAAGTAAAGGTTAGATGCGAGAAGTGGGTCATAATAAGCGTGTATGCACATGGAGAAGAGAGGAATGCAGAGGAGAGAGAGAGATTTTGGGAGATGTTAAGTGAATGTATAGGAGCCTTTGAACCAAGTGAGAGAGTAATTGTGGTAGGGGACCTGAATGCTAAAGTAGGAGAAACTTTTAGAGAGGGTGTGGTAGGTAAGTTAGGGGTGCCAGGTGTAAATGATAATGGGAGCCCTTTGATTGAACTTTGTATAGAAAGGGGTTTAGTTATAGGTAATACATATTTTAAGAAAAAGAGGATAAATAAGTATACACGATATAATGTAGGGCGAAATGACAGTAGTTTGTTGGATTATGTATTGGTAGATAAAAGACTGTTGAGTAGACTTCAGGATGTACATGTTTATAGAGGGGCCACAGATTAATCAGATCACTTTCTAGTTGTAGCTACACTGAGAGTAAAAGGTAGATGGGATACAAGGAGAATAGAAGCATCAGGGAAGAGAGAGGTGAAGGTTTATAAACTAAAAGAGGAGGCAGTTAGGGTAAGATATAAACAGCTATTGGAGGATAGATGGGCTAATGAGAGCATAGGCAATGGGGTCGAAGAGGTATGGGGTAGGTTTAAAAATGTAGTGTTAGAGTGTTCAGCAGAAGTTTGTGGTTACAGGAAAGTGGGTGCAGGAGGGAAGAGGAGCGATTAGTGGAATGATGATGTAAAGAGAGTAGTAAGGGAGAAAAAGTTAGCATATGAGAAGTTTTTACAAAGTAGAAGTGATGCAAGGAGGGAAGAGTATATGGAGAAAAAGAGAGAGGTTAAGAGAGTGGTGAAGCAATGTAAAAAGAGAGCAAATGAGAGAGTGGGTGAGATGTTATCAACAAATTTTGTTGAAAATAAGAAAAAGTTTTGGAGTGAGATTAACAAGTTAAGAAAGCCTAGAGAACAAATGGATTTGTCAGTTAAAAATAGGAGAGGAGAGTTATTAAATGGAGAGTTAGAGGTATTGGGAAGATGGAGGGAATATTTTGAGGAATTGTTAAATGTTGATGAAGATAGGGAAGCTGTGATTTCGTGTATAGGGCAAGGAGGAATAACATCTTGTAGGAGTGAGGAAGAGCCAGTTGTGAGTGTGGGGGAAGTTCGTGAGGCAGTAGGTAAAATGAAAGGGGGTAAGGCAGCCGGGATTGATGGGATAAAGATAGAAATGTTAAAAGCAGGTGGGGATATAGTTTTGGAGTGGTTGGTGCAATTATTTAATAAATGTATGGAAGAGGGTAAGGTACCTAGGGATTGGCAGAGAGCATACATAGTTCCTTTGTATAAAGGCAAAGGGGATAAAAGAGAGTGCAAAAATTATAGGGGGATAAGTCTGTTGAGTGTACCTGGTAAAGTGTATGGTAGAGTTATAATTGAAAGAATTAAGAGTAAGACGGAGAATAGGATAGCAGATGAACAAGGAGGCTTTAGGAAAGGTAGGGGGTGTGTGGACCAGGTGTTTACAGTGAAACATATAAGTGAACAGTATTTAGATAAGGCTAAAGAGGTCTTTGTGGCATTTATGGATTTGGAAAAGGCGTATGACAGGGTGGATAGGGGGGCAGTGTGGCAGATGTTGCAAGTGTATGGTGTAGGAGGTAGGTTACTGAAAGCAGTGAAGAGTTTTTACGAGGATAGTGAGGCTCAAGTTAGAGTATGTAGGAAAGAGGGAAATTTTTTCCCAGTAAAAGTAGGCCTTAGACAAGGATGTGTGATGTCACCGTGGTTGTTTAATATATTTATAGATGGGGTTGTAAGAGAAGTAAATGCGAGGGTCTTGGCAAGAGGCGTGGAGTTAAAAGATAAAGAATCACACACAAAGTGGGAGTTGTCACAGCTGCTCTTTGCTGATGACACTGTGCTCTTGGGAGATTCTGAAGAGAAGCTGCAGAGATTGGTGGATGAATTTGTTAGGGTGTGCAAAAGAAGAAAATTAAAGGTGAATACAGGAAAGAGTAAGGTTATGAGGATAACAAAAAGATTAGGTGATGAAAGATTGAATATCAGATTGGAGGGAGAGAGTATGGAGGAAGTGAACGTATTCAGATATTTGGGAGTGGACGTGTCAGCGGATGGGTCTATGAAAGATGAGGTGAATCATAGAATTGATGAGGGAAAAAGAGTGAGTGGTGCACTTAGGAGTCTGTGGAGACAAAGAACTTTGTCCTTGGAGGCAAAGAGGGGAATGTATGAGAGTATAGTTTTACCAACGCTCTTATATGGGTGTGAAGCGTGGGTGATGAATGTTGCAGCGAGGAGAAGGCTGGAGGCAGTGGAGATGTCATGTCTGAGGGCAATGTGTGGTGTGAATATAATGCAGAGAATTCGTAGTTTGGAAGTTAGGAGGAGGTGCGGGATTACCAAAACTGTTGTCCAGAGGGCTGAGGAAGGGTTGTTGAGGTGGTTCGGACATGTAGAGAGAATGGAGCGAAACAGAATGACTTCAAGAGTGTATCAGTCTGTAGTGGAAGGAAGGCGGGGTAGGGGTCGGCCTAGGAAGGGTTGGAGGGAGGGGGTAAAGGAGGTTTTGTGTGCGAGGAGCTTGGACTTCCAGCAGGCATGCGTGAGCGTGTTTGATAGGAGTGAATGGAGACAAATGGTTTTTAATACTTGACATGCTGTTGGAGTGTGAGCAAAGTAACATTTATGAAGGGATTCAGGGAAACCGGCAGGCCGGACTTGAGTCCTGGAGATGGGAAGTACAGTGCCTGCACTCTGAAGGAGGGGTGTTAATGTTGCAGTTTAAAAACTGTAGTGTAAAGCACCCTTCTGGCAAGACAGTGATGGAGTGAATGATGGTGAAAGTTTTTCTTTTTCGGGCCACCCTGCCTTGGTGGGAATCGGCCAGTGTGATAATAAATAATAAAAAACATTGCCCTTAGACAGGACATCTCCACTGCCTCCAGCCGCCTCCTCGCTGCTGCATTCACAACCCAAGCTTCACACTCATATGAGAGTGTTGGTACTACTATACTTTCATACATTCCCTTCTTTGCCTCCATAGATAACATTTTTTGACTCCACATATACCTCAACACACCACTCACCTTTTTTCCCTCATCAATTCTATGATTAACCTCATCCTTCATAAATCCATCCGCCGACATGTCAACTCCCAAGTATCTGAAAACATTCACTTCTTCCATACTCCTCCTCCTCAATTTGATATCCAATTTTTCTTTATCTAAATCATTTGATACCCTCATCACCTTACTCTTTTCTATGTTCACTTTCAACTTTCTACCTTTACACACACTCCCAAACTCATTCACTAACCTTTGCAATTTTTCTTTAGAATCTCCCATAAGCACAGTATCAGCAGCAAAAATAACTGTGTCAATTCCCATTTTGTATTTGATATCCCATAATTTAATCCCACCCCTCTCCCGAACACCCTAGCATTTACTTCTTTTACAACCCCATCTATAAATATATTAAACAACCATGGTGACATTACACATCCCTATCTAAGACCTACTTTTACCGGGAAGTAGTCTCCCTCTCTTCTTCACATCCTAACCTGAGCCTCATTATCCTCATAAAAACTCTTTACAAGATTTAGTAACTTACCACCTATTTCATATACTTGCAACACCTGCCACATTGCTCCCCTATCCACTCTATCATATGCCTTTTCTAAATCCATAAATGCAATAAAAACTTCCCTACCTTTATCTAAATACTGTTCACATATATGCTTCAATGTAAACACTTGATCTACACATCCCCTACCCATTCTGAAACCTCCTTGCTCATCCGCAATCCTACATTCTGTCTTACCTCTAATTCTTTCAGTTATGACCCTACTGTACACTTTTCCTGGTATACTCAGTAAACTTATTCCTCTATAATTTTTATAATCTCTTTTGTCCCCCTTCCCTTTATATAAAGGGGCTATACATGTTCTCTGCCAATCCCTAGGTACCTTCCCGTCTTTCATACATTTATTAAACAAAAGTACCAACCACTTCAACACTATATCCCCCCCTGCTTTTAACATTTCTGTCATGATCCCATCAGTTCCAGCTGCTTTACCCCCTTTCATTCTACGTAATGCCTCACGTACCTCCCCCACACTTACATTCTGCTCTTCTTCACTCCTAAAAGATGGTATACCTCCCTGGCCAGTGCATGAAATTACCGCCTCCCTTTTTTCCTCAACGTTTAAAAGTTCCTCAAAATATTCTCGCCATCTACCTAATACCTCCCTCTCCCCATCTACTAACTCCCCTACTCTGTTTTTAACTGACAAATCCATACATTCCCTAGGCTTTCTTAACTTGTTTAACTCACTCCAAAATTTTTTCTTATTTTCATTAAAATTTCTTGACAGTGCCTCTCCCATTCTATCATCTGCTCTCCTTTTGTACTCTCTCACCACTCTCTTCACCTTTCTTTTACTCTCCATATACTCTGCTCTTCTTATAACACTTTGTAAAAACCTCTCATAAGCTAACTTTTTCTCTTTTATCATACCCTTTACCTCATCATTCCTCCAATCACTCCTCTTTCCTCCTGCCCCCACCCTCCTATAACCACAAGCTTTGCGCCACATTCTAATACTGCATTTTTAAAACTCATCCAACCCTCTTCAACCCCCCCCCCACTACTCATCTTTGCACTAGCCCACCTTTCTGCCAATAGTCGCTTATATCTCACTCGAACTTCCTCCTCCCTTAGTTTATACACTTTCACTTCCCTCCTACTTGGTGTTGCCACCTTCCTCTTGTCCCATCTACCTCTTACTCTAACTGTAGCTACAACTAAATAATGATCCGATATATCAGTTGCCCCTCTATAAACATGTACATCCTGGAGCCTACCCATCATCCTTTTATCCACCAATACATGTGCTACATCATACCTTGTATATTTATTTATCCTCTTTTTCATAAAATATGTATTACGTATTACCAAATCTCTTTCTACACATAGCTCAATTAAAGGCTCCCCATTTACATTTACCCCTGGCGCCCCAAATTTACCTACTACTCCCTCCACAACATTTTTACCCACTTTAGCATTGAAATCCCCAACCACAAGCACTCTCACACTTGTGAAAGAATATTAAAATATTGTGAAAGAATATTAGACTCACCAGTTGATGTGTATTGGACGCTTAGCATGATTTGTTTACTTGTGAACTTTGGTAAAAATCGAACATTTCTGCTACTTTGAGCTCAATTTCAAGATACTTTTCATTGTAAAACCAGTCAAAATCATCTCAATTTCTGTAATATGTCTTCCATTCTATAAAATGAGACCAGGAAAGCTAGAATACAACAATAAATACCATACGAAAATACAATGCAAAGTCACTATTTTAATCCAAAAACACGGGCAAAGTTTTTTTTTTCTCATTACGCACTGTGTGCTGCAGGATTTTTTTTATACTGCGCACACTGACCACATAGACCCATTCTTTCATATGTAGGCCTACCAGCTTTCTCTCACTAGATTTGAGGGCGCTAGAATTTAGGGGTACTAGTTCGTCAGAAACCCTGGTGCGTAAGCCATACTAGTACGTCCGAAACCCTGAAAGGGTTAAACATAAGGTGCCTCTCTTGGCTCTGTGGTTCTTACCATACATTACCTTGTAGTCAATGCTCAAATTATTAGCAACTGTGACTTGTGCTGGCGTGCTACCTTTAGGATTGGCTTGCCATGGGTTTGAACCTCACTTCTTTCTATGAAAATAAATGACTGTGTTGTCACTAGCATGTGAGAGCGTATTCAAATTTTTAATAGGCAAAAATGTTTTTTTATGGAACATATTCATTATTAAATAATTTTTTAAACTTCATATTGAAATAAAAGTATTAGTCAGAGGGCAGAAGAGGGGTTGTTGAGGTGGTTTGGTCATTTAGAGAGAATGGATCAAAGTAGAATGACATGGAAAGCATATAAATCTATAGGGGAAGGAAGGCGGGGTAGGGGTCGTCCTCGAAAGAGTTGGAGAGAGGGGGTAAAGGAGGTTTTGTGGGCAAGGGGCTTGGACTTCCAGCAAGCGTGCGTGAGCGTGTTAGATAGGAGTGAATGGAGACGAATGGTACTTGAGACCTGACGATCTGTTGGAGCGTGAGCAGGGTAATGTTTAGTGAAGGGATTCAGGGAAACCGGTTATTTTCATATAGTCGGACTTGAGTCCTGGAAATGGGAAGTACAATGCCTGCACTTTAAAGGAGGGGTTTGGGATATTGGCAGTTTGGAGGGATATGTTGTGTATCTTTATATGTGTATGCTTCTAAACTGTTGTATTCTGAGCACCTCTGCAAAAACAGTGATAATGTGCGAGTGTGGTGAAAGTGTTGAATGATGATGAAAGTATTTTCTTTTTGGGGATTTTCTTTCTTTTTTTTGGGTCACCCTGCCTCGGTGGGAGACGGCCGACTTGTTGAAAAAAAAAAAAAAATTGAAATAAAAGCTGCAGTGCCAAAGATATAGATAGTGATCACCAGCAGCCTGATTGTACACAAACTAGGATGCACTTAGTGGATGGAGGATTGATCCTCCACCACTCACTGAGCTCAGTGACTCAGTGTTTACTACTACATAAAATATAATACAATGCAAATGGGGTAAGTAAGCTTATTTAGGTATAGGTATGCATAAGTATAATTATACAAAGTAACATGATGCATTAAACAGGTAATATCACAATATGCTAAAATAACCACAGTGAAAAAAATGTAAAATCCGGGCCATTGATGCTTTCTCACTATTCCTTGATAATGTGACAAATCACAAAAGTGCTTGGAATTTCACTATATTTTCACTGTGGTTATTTTGCTTAGCAACATGAATAAATTACCTAGGGTAACCCAAACAAGTCAGACAAAATGACTTATTTCCATTAGGGTAACCAGTTTTAAATGTAATGCTTATTTTCATTAGGGTAACCAGTCTTAAATGTAATGCTTATTTCCACTGGGGTAATCAGTCTTAAATGTAATGCTAGATATCAATACATATTTCATTCATTCATTTTCAGGTTTGCCTATGATGAAGAGGTATTTCCAAATTACTCCTGGCGAGGCTATGCTGTGTTTTCTGAAATCCAGAAGGAAATCATTCAGGAAATATATATTGAAAAACCATCATTATATCGCATGGTGCTCTTTTACCACAATCCAAGTTCCAAGACAATTGTTGGCAACATCAAATTTACACCAGACAACCCAAGTGATACAGAACAGGTATATTGTATACTTGCCACAGACTATATAGTGTACACTTGCCACAGACTATATAGTGTACACTTGCCACAAACTATATAGTGTACACTTGCCACAGACTACATATCGCACACTTGACACAGACTATATAGTGTACTCTTGTCAAGTAAAGTAAAGGTTTATTTCTTTGTAAAGGTTACAATGTGTAATTACAATTTTAGTTTGCTACGCACAAAGACAGCCACTATCGTGTCGTGGCATTTCAGGCAGACTAATCCTAGTACATAGAAACTACTTAAAACTAGACAGATAATAGTACATAGTAACTACATAAAACTAGACAAGATAGTCGTGGTTAACTGTGTTACAATTTTTATTTAACCTTAATACTAATTCAAAGTAGTCAACATGGAGGTTGTGATGAATGGTTTGAAAAACCGACAAGTTGAAGATTGAGACACTTATGCAGCATATGGGAATCTTTATTCAGGAAACGTTTCGCCACACAGTGGCTTCATCAGTCCAATACAAAGAGGAAGGCGTAAGGAGAGGAGGAGTATGAGGTAATCAGTCCCTCAGCCTGGAGTCGATGTGTTCAGTCCATCAATCTTGTAGAATGTACAGCATAGGGCCGTAGACGTGGCTTATATACTGTAGTGAGGTGAGATGAAGCAGGCGGAGGCGGGGTCATAGTGGTACCATCCACTAGTCGAAGTAGGTCTTCGTCCAAAGGTTGAACAAGTGTTGAAGAATTCTTTGTAACAAGATCCCATGATGCTGCAGTGTCTGACAGTTGTGATGAATGGTTTGAAAAACCGACAAGTTGAAGATTGAGACACTTATGCAGCATATGGGAATCTTTATTCAGGAAACGTTTCGCCACACAGTGGCTTCATCAGTCCAATACAAAGAGGAAGGCGTAAGGAGAGGAGGAGTATGAGGTAATCAGTCCCTCAGCCTGGAGTCGATGTGTTCAGTCCATCAATCTTGTAGAATGTACAGCATAGGGCCGTAGACATGGCTTATATACTGTAGTGAGGTGAGATGAAGCAGGCGGAGGCGGGGTCATAGTGGTACCATCCACTAGTCGAAGTAGGTCTTCGTCCAAAGGTTGAACAAGTGTTGAAGAATTCTTTGTAACAAGATCCCATGATGCTGCAGTGTCTGACAGTTGTGATGAATGGTTTGAAAAACCGACAAGTTGAAGATTGAGACACTTATGCAGCATATGGGAATCTTTATTCAGGAAACGTTTCACCACCCCAGTGGCTTCATCAGTCCAATACAAAGAGGAAGGCGTAAGGAGAGGAGGAGTATGAGGTAATCAGTCCCTCAGCCTGGAGTCGATGTGTTCAGTCCATCAATCTTGTAGAATGTACAGTATAGGGCCGTAGACATGGCTTATATACTGTAGTGAGGTGAGATGAAGCAGGCGGAGGCGGGGTCATAGTGGTACCATCCACTAGTCGAAGTAGGTCTTCGTCCAAAGGTTGAACAAGTGTTGAAGAATTCTTTGTAACAAGATCCCATGATGCTGCAGTGTCTGACAGTTGTGATGAATGGTTTGAAAAACCGACAAGTTGAAGATTGAGACACTTATGCAGCATATGGGAATCTTTATTCAGGAAACGTTTCACCACACAGTGGCTTCATCAGTCCAATACAAAGAGGAAGGCGTAAGGAGAGGAGGAGTATGAGGTAATCAGTCCCTCAGCCTGGAGTCGATGTGTTCAGTCCATCAATCTTGTAGAATGTACAGCATAGGGCCGTAGACGTGGCTTATATACTGTAGTGAGGTGAGATGAAGCAGGCGGAGGCAGGGTCATAGTGGTACCATCCACTAGTCGAAGTAGGTCTTCGTCCAAAGGTTGAACAAGTGTTGAAGAATTCTTTGTAACAAGATCCCATGATGCTGCAGTGTCTGACAGACACTGCAGCATCATGGGATCTTGTTACAAAGAATTCTTCAACACTTGTTCAACCTTTGGACGAAGACCTACTTCGACTAGTGGATGGTACCACTATGACCCCGCCTCCGCCTGCTTCATCTCACCTCACTACAGTATATAAGCCACGTCTACGGCCCTATGCTGTACATTCTACAAGATTGATGGACTGAACACATCGACTCCAGGCTGAGGGACTGATTACCTCATACTCCTCCTCTCCTTACGCCTTCCTCTTTGTATTGGACTGATGAAGCCACTGTGTGGCGAAACGTTTCCTGAATAAAGATTCCCATATGCTGTATAAGTGTCTCAATCTTCAACATGGAGGTTTTTAAGAATAATAATCCTGAAGTTGCACATGATAAAAACAATATTACAGATAATGGTTCAGAAAGTAATATTTCATGGACTGGCAGTTTAGAAATCTAGAGGTCACATAATATAACTAATTAGTACATGTATTTGTTTTGGTTGAATTGATTAATACTGAGAGATAAGATAATCTTTTAGCAAAGTCCTAAATTTATACACTTGCCACAGACTATATAGTGTGCACTTGCCACAGACTATATAGTGTACACTTGCCACAGACTATATAGTGTGCACTTGCCACAGACTATATAGTGTGCACTTGTCACAGACTATATAGTGTGCACTTGCCACAGACTATATAGTATGCACTTGCCACAGACTATATAGTGTACACTTGCCACAGACTGTATAGTGTGCACTTGCTACAGACTATATAGTGTACACTTGCCACAGACTATATAGTGTGCACTTTCCACAGACTATATAGTGTGCACTTGCCACAGACTATATAGTGTACACTTGCCACAGACTATATAGTGTGCACTTGCCACAGACTATATAGTGTACACTTGCCACAGACTATATAGTGTGCACTTGCCACAGACTATATAGTGTGCACTTACCACAGACTATATAGTGTGCACTTGCCACAGACTATAGTGTGCACTTGCCACAGACTATATAGTGTGCACTTGCCACAGACTATAGTGTGCACTTACCACAGACTATATAGTGTGCACTTGCCACAGACTATAGTGTGCACTTGCCACAGACTATATAGTGTACACTTGCCACAGACTATATAGTGTACACTTGCCACAGACTATATAGTGTACACCTGCCACAGACTATATAGTGTACACTTGCCACAGACTATATAGTGTGCACTTGCCACAGACTATATAGTATGCACTTGCCACAGACTATATAGTGTACACTTGCCACAGACTATATAGTATACACTTGCCACAGACTATATAGTGTGCACTTGCCACAGACTTTTCTTAAAAAGTAACAGACATTGTTTGATATTATGATACTTTATTATTTATGATTAATTTTATTATATGTATGAAAAGTGCTGAACTGTATATGTCATTTAGGGTCATACAGCAGAGGCAAGAGATGGTGGGAGGGAAGATGTTTTGAGGGAAGTACATTGGTTGTGCCAGACTTGAGTCCTGGAGGTGGAAAGTACAGTATCTGCACTCCAAAGGAGGCATTAGAGATATTTGCTGGAGGGACATCTGAGCTGTTGTATCTGCACACCTCTGGCAAGACTGATGTTGTGAATGATGGTGAAAGTGTTTCGTTTTTGGGTCACCCTGTCTTGGTGAGAGAAAGCGGGTGTGTTAGAAAAAAAATTGGTTAAGGGCATGGTGATTTTGATTAAGCAAGTTGGTGTCAGTTAAGAAACTGAAGAAACAGTGCAGCAAATGTGGAACATCAGAGAGAAGGCCAGGTGTACTGTTCGTGAGATAAAAATGAAAGCCTCAGTTCTTTTTTCTTTTATTAAAATGTTTGGAGCCTTTCTTCATAACTCTAATTTAATAGTTCTGGGAGCCATATTTTGGCTTGTTCTTGGATGTTTTTTTTAGGTACAAATACCATAGTATTGGTTTATGTGCACTTACTTGTCCATGTATCTAAATTCTACATAAAAGTTGGTCATTGTTACATATAAGTTTCTCAATATTTTATTGATAAGAACCTTTTCATATGGGACTCTCCAGCATTAGTTAATATAGCACTTACATATATGGATGGAGAAAGGCAGAAAAAGCTGTTCAGAACATGATGGGTCAAAATTTTGTATTGATGGGTAAGTGTGATTGGGGTGAAGATTTATGGGTAGAGTAGTGGTAGGCTGTTGTCAAAAGTAGTGGACATCTGCTGAAGTACTGTAGTTAGATATATGTCAGCAGTTGTGGCTATTTGTTAGCAACAGTGATCATATATTTGTAGTTTTTGCTAACTGAGTACAGTGGGACCTCGGTTTTCGTCTTTAATCTGTTCCAGAAGGTTGGCTGAAAACCGATTTGTACGAAAACTGAAGTGATATTTCCCATAAGAAATAATGTAAATCCAATTAATCCGTTCCAGAAACCCAAAAATATTAACAAAAAATAAATTTTATAGAGAATAACTATAGATTTACATACAGAAAACAATGAGAAATAAATGTAAAGCACTGATGAAATAACCTTTGTCTTTTACTGGCACTAGGACCAGCTTCAGAGTCACTGGACCCCTGTCGCATAAAAAATCTGTTCGGAGAGGCCTGTTAATTGCGTCTCTTTAAGATTTGCCTAAAATGGGACATGGCATTGTCATTGAACATGTTGCTGACATGGCTTGCAACAGCTTTGTTAAGGTGATATTTCTCCACAAAACTTTGCACCTCACTCCACTTTGCACAAATGTCCTTAATCGCTGAAGAAAGCACATTTTTCCCTCTCTCTTCCTCCTCCTCTGAAGCAATTTCCTGGGTTATTATGAAATGTTTCGGATGAACATGCGGAGTAATGCTCACTGAACGAGTAACAAAGGCAGACTGAGTCACGAACGTATTAGTGGCGGTGCCCTGCGGGCAGGCAGATGCGTCTGGTATAGATGATTTTCGAGCAGATGTATGAAAATGGGGAAAATTTCGCCGAAAAAGTGGTCAAAAACTGAATTGTATGATAACCGGACTGGACAAAAGCCGGGGTTCCACTGTACCTATTTCTGATTACTTGTTTGTAACTACAGGAGCAGAACTAGGCCCCTAGTGTTCCATCTTCAGTATTGTGACAGTGATATTTGCAGTGGGTATAATACTCACTATTTTGCCTTGTAAATCTTTCTGTTCTAACTATCAGAAGTGGTTGCTATTTTTTTTTACGAAGGTTTCATTTTATCCATCAATCTTTCTTGAAATTTTTGTTATTATGCTACATGAACACTTGGCACATAAATCTCATTTGTATAAGAGAAATAATGGAATAGAATTTTTTGTGTAAACATTTTATAAAATTTACATAAAATTATCTTCGTTGATTATGGCCTGTATTTTCAGGAAGTTGACGTCCACTTTGCACCTACCAGTAGACCACAGTTGATGACAGTGAACGCTGTGCCTGGTGATTTCCCCGAGACACTTGTTATGAACCCTGGACGATGGTCCATTGCTATAAAGAATAATCAGAACCTCTTTGTGGTATGTAATAATTTTTTTTTGTTTATCAGAATACCTTGGAGGAAATTTAATTGGAATTTTTTTTTATTAGATATTACAAATTGAACAAAATTTTCACTTTAACTTTGCTGAGTATTTTGTGTAAGATGGGTAAAATGCACAGCTCAACTACTACTGTAAAATAGTTTCTAAATGATTTTAATTTAATATTTGTCTTGTATTTTAGTGACTTTTGAAATCATTAAACCTATTTAATTATATAATTATTTAAAATAGAATTTTTCATATTCTCCAAATATACATATAGTTTTCATTATTCCAATTTGATTTTTTTTGATAAAAAAAAACAAGGTAAGAGAGACAAGGAATATAGGTAGTGAAAATTGGGATATTAGAGTGGACAGAGGGAGTATGGAGAAAGGGAATGTACTGCATTCAAATATTTCGGAGTGTATATTGGCAGATGGGTCTTCGAAAGATGAGATGAATCATAGAATTGCTAAGGGAAAAAGGGTGGGTGGTGCATTGAGACATCTGTCAATTTTTTTTTTTTTTTTTTTTTTTTTTTTTGAGGGAAAGAGGGAAATATACTCAAGTCTAGCAGTGCCAATGCTTTAAATGTTGCAGTGAAGAGAAGGCTGCAGGCAGTGGCAGTGTCAGGTTTGAGAACAATGTGTGGTGTGAATATTATGCAGAGAATTCAGAGTGTAGAAATTAGATAAGGATGAGAGTTTTCAAAAATTTAATTCAGAGGTCTGAGGAGAAATGGTTTGGGCATTTAGAGGATAGAGCAGAATAGGAGGAGTTAAAGAAGGAAGGAATGGGTAAAGGGAAATTTTGAGGGCTATGGCTAGAGCATCTAGCAGTCTTATGTGAGTGTGCTAGATTGTAATGAGTCGGGACATTTGGTTTTTATGGCTTGACATACTGCTGTAGTGTGAACAAGGTAACATAAATGAAAGGATCCAGGGAACCCTGTTAGTTGGCCTTGAGTCATGGAGAGGGAAAAAGTACTGTGCCAACACTCTGGAAGAGGTATTGGGATGTTGCAGTTTAGAGTCAATTAAATTGTTATAATATCTGCACTCTTCTGGCAGGACAGCGATTGAATGATAGTGAACTATTTTTTTTTTTGGGGGGGGGGGGGGGGGGTCATCCAACCTTGGTTGGATATGGACAGTGTGTTCAAAATAAAAATTGAAAGTAATACATTAATGGAACATTCCAAATGCCTTCACAATTGTTAAAAATCCCCAAAAGAACTCTTACATCCAAAGTAGGCCATGGCATGTGACAGGCTCGTATTCAAATACTGTCTACTATCATCTAGAAACTCATAATATGGCTGTACATTGTTAAATTGGAATGAGATAGATCATTAGCAGGGTTTTGTGCATGGATGACAATACACAGAGCCCTGTTCTTTATTAACATTATGGCTTTCTTATTGGCATTTGTATTGCGTTTTCGGTCAGGTAGTATACCTGCACTGCAGAGGTGCTAGGCCAGTTTGAGGTGAGGTTTCTGGGCTCTGATCCCTGGGAAGGACCTACTTCCACTGGGGAATCCCGCCTACCAGTGACTATGCCCTCGTCTGCTACACCTGACGTTACTATATAAGCGCCAGGCTCCTTGTTTCTGCTTCATAATCTCCACGACTATGGTGCTCTTCGCACCTACTCCTAGGATGAGGGACTGATTACCTCATCTTCTGTATATAGTCCTACTGTCTTCAAGCTATGTCCTGGAATTTGTATTGATAAAGCCACTGGATGGCGAAACGTCTACAATAAAGATACCCAGATGTTGCACATGTGTCTTAATTTCAACTTAGGGTAGAGTTCATTTTGATGAGGACCTGCCTTGTATGGACTAGTAGACCTGCCGTGTTCTTCCATTCTTATGTTCTTAGTGGGAAGGAATGTAAAGGACCTGCCTAGTATGGTCCAACAGGCCTACTGCAGTGTTCCTCCTTTCTTATATTCTTATTGAAGACTTGTTTGTGCGAGGGAGGGATGGCAAGTTTATTGTTGGAGAATATGACACTAATATCAACTCTACGGCTTATTTATCTATCACAATTCAACTAATTCTCCATGGGGAAGTGGAACAGAATTCTTCCTCCGTAAGCCATGCGTGTTGTAAGAGGCAACTAAAATGCCAGGAGCAAGGGGCTAGTAACCCCTTCTCCCGTATAAATTACTAAATTTAAAAAGAGAAACTTTCGTTTTTCTTTTTGGGCCACCCTGCCTTGGTGGGATACGGCCGGTTTGTTGAAAAAAAAAAAAAAAAAAAATTCAACTAATATGACAAAATAAACAACATTAAAAACATAGAAACATGGAATATACTCTAGAATAAATAAAATAAGTCATTACGTATGTCACGAGAGGTGTTGTGTTGTTGTTGGGTATATAAGGGCCACTGAAAGTAAGCCATCCATAATGGTGGTGAAGCAGCAGCTGAGGCTCCGGTGTTTTCTCTAGCCCTATATAACTCCAACAACATTGGAGGAGTTAGTAGAATTGATGAATCACTGAAGAAGACACCCTCTACCACCATCACTACCACCTTCTACCACTATTACAACTGCTACCACCATCACTACCACCTTCTACCACTATTACAACTGCTACCACCATCACTACCACCTTCTACCACTATTACAACTGCTACCACCATCACTATCACCTTCTACCACTATTACAACTGCTACCACCATCACTACCACCTTCTACCACTATCACTACCACCCTCTACCACCATCAACCACTATCACAACTGCTTCCACTCTACCACCACAAACTTTTTCTTAAATTATATGTGCTTCTCACATTCTTTACCAAAGGGCTGGCACTAGAAGCTTTCTTTGGAGCCATGGTGACTTATTTAGCAGTTGCAAACACTAAAACGAATGGAATATTATGAAATGTATCGTATGAACTCGTGGGATCATCCTCACTCACTGATAAACAATGGCACAGTGGCTGGGAATGGAATGTGAGGCGGCTCGGGGCTGTGTGTACCTGTCCCAGACGAATGACTATTTACGAGTCAAACGACAATTCACGAGCCAATGTTTTGGCGAAAATAACGTTACGATTTTCGAAAATTATGCCTATCGAGCCTTATGATTATCGAGGGACCATTGTACATTGCATAATGTGCATGTTTATTACCAGTGAATTATATTAATTCACCTTACTTATTAGACTCTGGGTATGTAGTATAGCAGTGGTGAGGTAGAGAAACACCTTAGTAAGTTTACCTGCTCAATAACTTTTTGTTGCCTGAGGGAATGTCACCTCTGGTAGTCAGGTGACTAGTGTTTAGTTCATGGGCAAGCCATGGCTTGGCAGTCAGTTGGTCTTGAAACACAGTTGCAAGTTGAAGGTCTCTGGCCTCTCTTACAACATCTACCAACTTATGCACACACCTATTCTCTATTGGTCTTCACTTTGTGTTCCTGCTTTGGAAATAGCATTTGTGGCCTTGATTTTGTGTGGAGGTTTTAATATCCTCACTGCTCTTAACACTGAGGTGTCACTGTAAGCCAGTCCTTGAGCCAAAGGGCCAGTAGAAGTTTGTCTCCTTGCAGACTGATCATTACATTCTACTCTGTTGAACTTCTCTGTGTTGATCTTTGTGTGGAGGTGTTGATATCCTCTTGAAGTCAGTCCCTGAGCTGAAGGGTCAGTAGAAGCCAGTCTCCTTTTAGACTGTTCTTCATACTCCACACTGTTTTGTGTGAAAATTTTGATATCCTCATTTGCTCTAGATAAGCCAGTGTGTTAGTAGAAGCCAGTCTCTTTTCAGACTGTTCTTCATACTCCACACTTTGCATTGCAGGTGGGGGTAGGGAAGATGAGCAGTTAAGAAGGGAGAGGAGAAAAGCTGCCTTGTGGGTAATGACAACATGTGAAATTGCCTTAGGCCCAACTTGGACGCTGGCTGCCTCTGCGAACACTCGCTATTTGCCAGGAAATTTGAAAATCAAAATTTAATTTTACTCTCAGTTATGCTTATTACTGCTTCTGCATTTCTTGTAGGAGTCTTCTTTAATACTCAGTATGATATAATGTTTAATCAGTTTAACTTCAATGATTGAGGGACTGACTGGGACAAATTATCCAAGGAACAGTAAAAGATGCTCTGGGAAACATGTATGAACAGTAAGGCTAAATTAATCCATTGACAGTTGAATGCAGAAGATGCAGGATTTGTAAAAATCCTGCAGCTATTGCATTCAACTTTCTGCATTAAATTTAAAGTACAGCAAGTTCTTATGTAATTCTTGCAATTTATGAAGTGTATATGAAACACATGTGCATTTTTATTTACTGGCTATGTCTTACTAAGATAGGGTGACTGCTAGTGTGTACAAATATACATAGAATATGTTTCACTTATGCCTTACTGAGCAGGATACTCTTGAATTGTTTAGGACAGTTTTGTTTTAGCATTGTGGGTTACATTATTGTTACATTAATAGGGAAGTGCTTAATATGCAGGGGCCATAATTACCTGGGAAATGGGGAAGTAGTCAGGTTTGATTTGTGGAAGGGAAGGTTAACTCCAGTTCCTTTGATCAAGGCCCCCTTGTAGGTCTCAAGGCACCCCCTTGAAGGGATTGTGAGCTACAGAATGTTTCATTAATATTTTTGTTAATTCCCAAGGTGGATAGAAAGATGAAAAATCTTATGTTAATCATGTTTTCTTCATATATTTGGGTACAGGAATACCTTACTAGTACAGCAGGTTAGGTTCTAAACTGCTGCCATAAAGCAAATATACTGCCTTAAAGTGAATCACAGCCTTCTTTTCATTTGTTATTGCATATAAAAGCCTAAAATCATGTTTACACTATCATTTATTAAGTGAGCAATATCACTAGGCCTAAAAAAAAAGCAAAAGTAAAAAAAATAAACAAATTGGAAAATTTCCAAAAATCATCTTAAAAACAAGATAAATGCCAAAAATAATTAACATAATTGTAATTGAAAAGTGGCATATTAGCACAGCGCTCTAAAGTGATTGCCATATTAATGACTTATGCCTGTATTATAATACTGTAGTTATGATAAGAGATATTTTGACAGTGTTGAAATCTAATACTATAGAGGATGTGAGGGAATTCAAAACCTTTACATGACAAGATGATTTACACCTACTTTGGTTCAGTATTATCAGTTGAATATGATTATACAAGATTTAGGTTCATTGATTAGCCAGACTTTGAGTCCTGAAGAAGGGGTGGGAATGTTATAGTTCAGAGAGTCATTGGAATGGTGATGTCTGTGCACTTCTGACAAGACAGCTATTGATTGAATGATGGTGAATGCATTTCCTTGTTATTTGGATCACCCTGCCTTGGTGAGAGATGGCTGTTGTATTTAAAAATAAGAGAGTATAAGTGGATGAATAATGTACATACTGATAACTTTGTTAACTCTGTATAAAGTGTCATCCTCACTGAAAGAATAGAAAAAATGAATTGTTGACACTAATGAAATAATTTTTAATAATTACCTTTGTAAATACTGTATTTTTGGATTTTATGCTATATCTACCTTCTGTAAAGCAGCTGTTTGTTTTTTTGTACACAACTGATTGTTTAATTTAGCCATTATGTATTTGTCATTTCAGGACTATTTTGTGCTGCTTCCTCTTGCATTTTATGAAGGCACTATCCTCAGCAGGAATGTGACCACTCACTGCAAGCTGGGCCAAACAGATGATGAAATGTGTCTACATTATGCTTATCCGGATATATTTCATTATAGCTACATTTATGGATCTGCTGGTTATCGTAGCTTTAATGGTGAACGCCAGGCTGTGGAACTGTTTGATGATGAGGAGGTGAGTTTTTCATTTAAAAACATGGACAATGTTCCATGTTTTAATAATTGTCAATGCATGTGTTCTTATTATTTTTATTTATTTTTTATTAACACATTGGCCATTTCCCACCAAGGTAGGGTGGCCTGAAAAAGGAAAACTTTCATTATCATTCACTTCACCACTGTCTTACCAGAGGTGCAGTTACACTACAGTTATAAAACTGGAACAGTAACACACTCCTTCAGAGTTCAGGCACTGTACTTCTCATCTCCAGGAATCAAATCTGGCCTGCTGGTTTCTCTGAATCCCTTCATAAATGTTACCTTGCTCACACTCCAACAGCACATCAAGTCCTAAAAACCATTTGTCCCCATTCGCTCCTATCTAACATGCTCGTGCATGCTTGCTGGATGTCCAAGCCCCTTGCACACAAAATTTTCTTTACCCTCTGCCTCCAACCTTTCATAGGCCGACCCTTACCCCACCTTCCCACCACTACAGATTTATACACTCTCGAAGTCATTCTATTTTTTTTTTCCATCCTCTCTCCATGTCCAAACCACCTCAGTAACCCCTCCTCAGCCCTTTGGATAATAGTTTTGGTAATCCCGCACCTCCTCCTAATCTTCAAACTATGGATTCTCTGCATTGTATTCACACCACACATTGCCCTCAGACATGACATCTCCACTGCCTCCAGCCTTCTCCTTGTTGAAGCATTCACCACCCATGCCTCACACCCATGCAAGAGCGTTGGTATAACTATACTCTCATACATTCCCCTCTTTGCTTTCATGGATAAAGTTCTTTGTCTCCACAGACTCCTAAGTGCACCACTCACCTTTTTCCCCTTATCAATTCTATGATTCACCTCATCTTTCACAGACCCATCTGCTGACATGTCCATTCCCAAATATCTGAATACATTCATCTCCTCCATACTCTCTACCTCCAACCTGATATCCAATCTTCCATTACCTAATTTTTTTGTTATCCTCATCACCTTACTCTTTTCTGTATTCACTTTCAATTTCCTTCTTTTACATACCCTACCAAACTTATTAGCCAACCTCAGGAACTTCTCTTCAGAATCTCCCAAAAGCACAGTGTCATCAGCAAAGAGCAACTGTGACAACTCCCATTTTGTATTATACTCTTTATTTTTTAACCCCACACCCTTGCCAACACCCGAGCATTCGCTTCTCTTACAATTCCATCAATAAATATACTGAATAGTCATGGTGACATCACACAACCCTGTCTAAGGCCTACTTTTACTGGGAAATAATCTCCCTCTCTCCTACAAACTCCAATCTGAGCCTTCATTACCCTCATAGAAACTTTTCACTACTTTCAGTAGCCTACCTCCTATTCTGCATATTTGCTACATTGCCCACAATCTACCTTATCATATGCCTTTTCCAAATTCGTAAATGCAACAAAAACCTCTTTACACTTATCTAAATGCTGTTCACCTATGTTTCACTGCAAACACTTGGTCTACACACCCCCTACCCTTCCCAAAGTCTCTTTGTTCATCTGCTATCCTGCTCTCTGTCTTACTCTTAATTCTTTCAATAATTACTCTGCTATACACTTTACCGGGTATACTCAACAAACTTCTTTCTTTCTTTCTTTCAACACACCTGCCGTATCCCACCGAGGCAGGGTGGCCCAAAAGGAAAAACTAAAGTACTCAACAGATTTATTCCCCTATAATTTTTACACTCTTTTGTCCCCATTGCCTTTATACAAAGGAACTATGCATGCTCTCTGCTAATCCCTAGGTACCTTACCCTCTTCCATACAATTATTAAACAAAAATACCAACCACTCCAAAAGTATATCCCGACCTGCTTTTAACATTATAGAAAATTATAGAAAAAATTATAGAAAAATATGATACATTATATGTATGAATGATTAGTTTCTGATAGGCACAGCTAGAGACAGCACAACACATTTTAATAATATTGCTAAAATGTACAAGTAAATAATTTAAAATATTGTTTAATATGCAAATAAATATTCTGCAGATAGTTTTTGTTTTCTTTAGATTTTGCGAGAGCTTGACACGCAGCCAATGGCATGGCTGAACCACAACCAACCTAATGTTCAGTATGACATTCGACTTGCTCGTCCTGGACGCCACATACTGCTCATCAACTATTATACTCCGGCTGGCGGCACAACTACTAATGTCATTGTAGAAACCTCAACTCGCAAGGGTAGAGAGAAGGGAAGAGCCATCTTGTATGACTGCATGTACTCTACAACTTGTCGTCAAGTTGTCACAGATGCCAGTGGAAAAGTTGGTATCTTCTACTTTGATAGCAATTTCATCAGTCTTGATATAAAAGTAAGTGTAAAAATCTAACATTTTGTTGATTCTGACATTATCTTAGTTACAATAAAAATGAAGTACAGTAGAACCCCTGTATGCATGGATTTGGTTTCCACAGTTTGTTATCTATGATTTAATGGTTTAATAATGGCACCATAGGACAAAAGTTGTGATGGTGGCAGTTCTTCAAAGCCTAAGGGAAGCCGTGAAGTGCTTCCCATCAGTGAAAAAGTGATAATTCACTTATTGTGCATAATTTATCAATTAAATTTTATCATATGTATTTTTTTTTTTATTAGCACACTGGCCGATTCCCACCAAGGCAGGGTGGCCTGAAAAAGAAAAACTTTCACCATCATTCACTCCATCACTGTCTTGCCAGAAGGGTGCTTTACACTACAGTTTTTAAACTGCAACATTAACACCCTTCCTTCAGAGTGCAGGCACTGTACTTCCCATCTCCAGGACTCAAGTCCGGCCTGCCGGTTTCCCTAAATCCCTTCATAAATGTTACTTTGCTCACGCTATAACAGCACGTCAAGTATTAAAAAACCATTTGTCTCCATTCATTCCTATCAAACATGCTCACGCATGCCCACTGGAAGTCGAAGCCCTTCACACACTAAACCTCCTTTACCCCCTCCCTCCAAGTTTTCCTAGGCCGACCCCTACCCCGCCTTCCTTCCACTACAGACTAATACACTCTTGAAGTCATTCTTTTTCGCTCCATTCTCTCTACATGTCCGAACCACCTCAACAACCCTTCCTCAGCCCTCTGGACAACAGTTTTGGCAATCCTGCACCTCCTCCTAACTTCCAAACTACGAATTCTCTGCATTATATTCACGCCACACATTGCCCTCAGACATGACATCTCCACTGCCTCCAGCCTTCTCCTCGCTGCAACATTCATCATCCATGCTTCACACCCATATAAGAGCGTTGGTAAAACTATACTCTCATACATTCCCCTCTTTGCCTCCAAGGACAAAGTTCTTTGTCTCCACAGACTCCTAAGTGCACCGCTCACCCTTTTCCCCTCATCAGTTCTATGATTCACCTCATCTTTCATAGACCCATCCACTGACATGTCCACTCCCAAATCCTCTCCCAAATATCTGAATACATTCACCTCCTCCATACTCTCTCCCTCCAATCTGATATCCAATCTTTCATCACCTAATCTTTTTGTTGTCCTCATAACCTTACTCTTTCCTGTATTCACTTTTAATTTCTTCTTTTACATACCCTACCAAATTCATCCACCAACCTCTGCAACTTCTCTTCAGAATCTCCCAAGAGCACAGTGTCATCAGCAAAGAGCAACTGTGACAACTCCCACTTTGTGTGATTCTTTATCTTTTAACTCCACGCCTCTTGCCAAGACCCTCGCATTTACTTCTCTTACAACCCCATCTATAAATATATTAAACAACCACGGTGACATCACATATCCTTGTCTAAGGCCTACTTTTACTGGGAAATAATCTCCCTCTTTCCTACATACTCTAACTTGAGCCTCACTATCCTCGTAAAAACTCTTCACTGCTTTCAGCAACCTACCTCCTATACCATACACCTGCAACATCTGCCACATTGCCTCCCTATCCACCCTGTCATATGCCTTTTCCAAATCCATAAATGCCACAAAGACCTCTTTAGCCTTATCCAAATACTGTTCCCTTATATGTTTCAATGTAAACACCTGGTCCACACACCGCCTACCTTTCCTAAAGCCTCCTTGTTCATCTGCTATCCTATTCCCCGTCTTACTCATAATTCTTTCAATAATAACTCTACCGTACACTTTACCAGGCATACTCAACAGACTTATCCCCCTATAATTTTTGCACTCTCTTTTGTCCCCTTTGCCTCTATACAAAGGAACTATGCATGCTCTCTGCCAATCCCTAGGTACCCTACCCTCTTCCATACATTTATTAAATAATTGCACCAACCACTCCAAAACTATATCCCCACCTGCTTTTAACATTTTTATCTTTATTCCATCAATCCCAGCTTCCTTACCCCCTTTCATTTTAACCTACTGCCTCACGAACTTCCCCCACACTCACAACTGACTCTTCCTCACTCCTACACGATGTTATTCCTCCTTGCCCTATACTTGAAATCACAGCTTCCCTATCTTCATCAGCATTTAACGATTCCTCAAAATATTCCCTCCATCTTCCCAATACCTCTAACTCTCCATTTAATAACTCTCCCCCCCTTTTTTTTAACTGACAAACCCATTTGTTCTCTAGGCTTCCTCAACTTGTTAATCTCACTCCAAAACTTTTTCTTATTTTCAACAAAATTTGTTGATAACATTTCACCCACTCTCTCATTTGCTCTCTTTTTACATTGCTTCACCACTCTCTTAACCTCTCTCTTTTTCTCCATATACTCTTCCTTCCTTGCATCACTTCTACTTTGTAAAAATTTCTCATATGCTAACTTTTTCTCCCTTACTACTCTCTTTATATCATCATTCCACCAATCGCTCCTCTTCCCTCCCGCACCCACTTTCCTGTAACCACAGACTTCTGCTAAACACTCTAACACTACATTTTTAAACCTACTCCATACCTCTTCGACCCCATTGCCTATGCTCTCATTAGCCCATCTATCCTCCAATAGCTGTTTATATCTTTCCCTAACTGCCTCCTCTTTTAGTTTATAAACCTTCACCTCTCTCTTCCCTGATGCTTCTATTCTCCTTGTATCCCATCTACCTTTTACTCTCAGTGTAGCTACAACTAGAAAGTGATCTGATATATCTGTGGCCCCTCTATAAACATGTACATCCTGAAATCTACTCAACAGTCTTTTATCTACTAATACATAATCCAACTAACTACTGTTATTTTGCCCTACATCATATCTTGTATACTTATTTATCCTCTTGTTTCTTTAAATATGTATTACCTATAACTAAACCCCTTTCTATACAAAGTTCAATCAAAGGGCTCCCATTATCATTTACACCTGGCACCCCTAACTTACCTACCACACCCTCTCTAAAAGTTTCTCCTACTTTAGCATTCAGGTCCCCTACCACAATTACTCTCACTTGGTTCAAAGGTTCCTATACATTCACTTAACATCTCCCAAAATCTCTCTCTCTCCTCTACATTCCTCTCTTTTCCAGGTGCATACATGCTTATTATGACCTACTTTTTGCATCCAACCTTTACTTTAATCCACATAATCCTTGAATTTTCACATTCATATTCTCTTTTCTCCTTCCATATCTGATCCTTCAATATTATTGCTACCCCTTCCTTTGCTCTAACTCTCTCAGATACTCCAGATTTAATCCCATTTATTTCCCCCCACCGAAACTCCCCTACCCCCTTCAGCTTTGTTTTACTTAGGGCCAGGACATCCAACTTCTTTTCATTCATAACATCAGCAATCATCTCTTTCTTGTCATCCGCACTACATCCACGCACATTCAAGCATCCCAGTTTTATAAAGTTTTTCTTCTTCTCTGTTTTAGTAAATGTTTACAGGAGAAGGGATTACTAGCCCATTGCTCCCGGTATTTTAGTCACCTTATACGACACGCATGGCTTACGAAGGAAAGATTCTTTTCCTCTTCCCCTTGGACAATAAATGAAAATAAAGAAGAACAAGAGCTATTTAGAAAAAGGAGAAAAACCTAGATGTATGTATATATATATGCATTTACATGTCTGTGAAGTGTGACCAAAGTGTAAGTAGGAGTAGCAAGATATCCCTGTTATCTAGCGTGTTTATGAGACAGAAAGAGAAAAACAACTTATATATATGGTTCGCTACTATCCGTGGTAGCTCTTGGAAAGTATCCCCTGCAGATACAGGGGGACTACTTTATGTATAATCCCTGTAATATATACATTATATTGTTTTTGTACTAACCCAGTGTAAGATATGAAGACAAAACTCAAAACACTAATACTAGTCATTATGACAGAACATTTTAAAGATAGCAACCTGTAATTTACTGTGTACTTCACAGCTTGGCTTGTCTTGTTTAATTTAAGTAACTTTATGAAATATTCTTTAGAAAAACCACTTAGGTTTTATGCACTGCTTGGCATCACATTACAGATTATTACTACATTCATGGTTAGTTTTAGTGTAATAGTTTTATTATGCAGCATATACCCATTCTGTAAGTGGTAGTTAAAGATTACCGAGGCATTTAATGGGTCCAGGAGGTAAACCTGAATATTTTTGATAGCTGTGCAAGTTACAGCATTAATGAACTGCAGTATGTACAGGTAATGTCTTGGTAACTATTGTAATGAGTTGTTTTTGCAGACATGAATTCATGAAACGTTACATTAATTTGCCACTGTGGTTAAGATATCTTGACATTTCTTGAACATTTGTTGTAAGTGAATTATTTATAGGTATCAAAATTTTTTTGTATTGCAATGCATAATGATGTAGGGATGACAGTAGTTCCTTTGGCAAAGTTTACATTTAGTTAGGTCTATATCAGCTAGTAGTGTAAACTTCCAGAGGCACCTGTAGCCCAGCCAAAGTTAGGCAGTAGTGACATTCAGAAGTCTGGTTTTTGTGGATACACCATAGACATATGGCTCCTCCTACATGATAGAATCATGGTAGAAATACTGATTGGTATCAGTCTCCCTTGGACTCAAGTCAGTGAAATTCAGTTGAAGTTCTTTTCATATTGTCATCAGACTACTAGTGGGCATCTCAAAGTTATAATCACTTCCCTCTTGATGGCATATACTCTTGCCAGTTCATCATTTCTATCATGCATATGAAGACCCATGTGAGATGTGTTTGGGCTAGGCCAGGACACAGTGTTAGGTGGTCTGTCTTGGGCTGGTGTAGACTCCTAGTGTGACTCCAGTGTGTAAAATTTTACCAACCTTTGTCTGGCTTCTGATATGAGCATGTCACAGTTATCTCTCATGGGGTTAACAGCATTTATGAAATTAAATAAAATTGAAATAAAAATTAAAATTTTCATGTCTAAGAAGCATACATGGATGTTACAGTGATTGAGAAGTTCATTTTCGTTACAGGTTTGATACAATTAGGACAAAAATTATTTGATATACAGTGGACCCCCGCATAGCGAACGCCTTGCATAGCGAACATTCCGCATAGCGAACGCTTTGATCGCTAAAATTTTGCCCCGCATAGTAGACAAAAACCCGCTCAGCGAACTTCGTCCGAGACGCGTCCAATGTGCGGCCTCAGCCAGCCTCACATGTGCCGCCTGTCCCATTGTTTACCAGCTAGCCTCCGCGGTAACATTCAAGCATACACTCGGAATATTTCGTATTATTACAGTGTTTTCGGTTCTGTTTGTTGAAAATAAGTGACCATGGGCCCCAAGAAAGCTTCTAGTGCCAACCCTGTGGTAAAAAGGGTGAGAATTAGTATGGAAATTAAGAAAGATTTTGAAGGGTTTGGGGCTAACCCTGAGAAGCCTATGCCAGTTGTGGAATCCATTGTGCCTACTTCAAAAATTAAGGAAATGTGTGCACAGTGGGTTGAACTGCAAACCTTTATGGATGAAAATCACCCTGACACAGCTGTTGCAAGGCGTGCTGGTGACTATTTCAATGACAATGTTATGGCCCATTTTAGACAAATCGTAAAGGAACGGGAGGTACAGAGCTCTATGGACAGAAAGAAGTCCAGTGACTCTGAAGCTGGTCCTAGTGGCATTAAAAGAAGAAGGGAAGTAACCCTGGAAAAGGACTTCCCTCCTCAAGTGTTAATGGAAGGGGATTCCCCTTCTAAACACTAACACTCTCTCTCCCCTCCTCCCATCCCATCAATCATCACCAGATCTTCAATAAAAGTAAGTGTCATGTAATTGTGCATGCCTTTTTCAGTTTGTGTGTACTAAAATTAACATTTTTTTGTGGTAAAAAAATTTTTTTTTCATACTTTTGGGTGTCTTGCACGGATTAATTTTATTTCCATTATTTCTTATGGGGAAAATTAATTCGCATAGCGAACATTTCGCATAACGACCAGCCCTCTTGCACGGATTAAGTTCGCTATGCGGGGGTCCACTGTAGTTCTATGCTCAGAAGATATTCACTTAATATGCACAGCATTTTGAGCAAACTAATACTAAAATTTACATTATACTTAATTCTAATCCTATGGATGATAATCACTTACAATAAAAGTGTGAACTTTAGATACAGGAGAGCCCCACTTATACAGTAGGTTAGGTTCTAGGCTACTGTTGTAAAGTGAAAATCCGAAAATCGCGGTAAAGCGAAACATAGCCTTTTTTTTTCACTTTTAAATGCATATAAACACCTGATAACATGTTTGTGCTATCATATATTAAGTGAGCAATAGAGCTAGGCCTAAAAAATGCATATACAGTACACACATTACTTACCTTAAAATATAGTGAGTGGTGAATATATTTATTGTAGGTAGTCTGAATAAATGAAGAATGGGTACAGTTGAAAACTACTATATTAGTGAAATGCTGTAAAGTGACACCCTCTTGTATTTGGACATATTCAAGTGCAGAGAATATAGCAAGCAGGTCAGCTTGAAGGGCAAAAACCCATTTGTTAATGCATACTTCAGTTGCTATATAAGAGCCATCATTGTTGGACAGTAATGGCATTACCAGCTGTATCAGTAGATTGGTGGAGAGTGCCGAACTTAATGTTTACTTAGAGATGGTTTTGGGGCAGGTGAGGGCCATTGCCCCTGTACTAGGTCTCAGACGAGGCCTCCCAGTGGATGGCTTGATCAGTCAAGCTGTTGGTGCTAGTTACATGCAGTGCAGCATATGCATCACAGCCTATTTGATCAGGAACTCACTTTTCTTATGAAATGGTAGAGAATCTTTTTCTGAAGATAATAAAACAAAAAGTACAAAATTTGATGAAAAATTGACGAAATTACATTCTCGCAAATTTTGATGCATCAGTGATGTTTACGTATCAGTGATTTTTCTGTCTTTGACTCCCATTTTAGGCCAATTACATTATTCCAGTTTACCAAATTCTTAGCTATTTTGCTGTATTACTTCTGTTTTATCAAGTGAGCACAAGAAATTGCCCAGTCAACTGTTTCAACTACCCAATAAAGTGATAGTAAATAGGTAATTTGGCCAATTTAATACAAGGTTGAAAATATTCCAATTTCAAAGTAGGGTCCAGAATAAACACTGCAGGCATTCTTGGCACTAAACTAACATTTCCTCTGTTCATTAGTTATGTTTTTAGGCTTTACAAATGAACAGCTTTTTTATTTTTTATTCACATAATGAATTTTTATTCACACCAAAAATTGGAAGATTTACTGTTAGGCAATATTGTAATAATTGTATAAATAATATCACCACATTTTTGAATGTATATTAGACCCACCAGCTGATGCATATTAGACGCGTAACATTTGTTTACTCTTGAACAGCGGCAAAAATTGAACGTTTCCGCTACTTTGAGCTCAGTTTCAAGCCATTTTCAGTACTAAAACCGATCATTCTTTTGTTAGTGGGATGGATTGTAAAGGACCTGCCTAGTATAGGCCAACAGGCCTGCTGCAGTGTTCCTCCTTTCTTATGTTCTTAAGTGGAGGCAAGTGGGTTGTATGACTTGACATGCTGTTGGAGTGTGAGCAAGGGAAAATTGGCTAGCCTAACTGAAGTCTCAGAGGTGGAAAAACAGTTCCTGCACTCTGAAGGTGTGGGATGTTACAGTAGGGAGGGTTATCTGAACTGTGATGTCAGCACTCTTCTGGAAAGACAGTGATTGAATGAATGAGATTGAAGGTGTTTCCTCTTTTCTAGTTCACTTTACCTTGGTGGGAGGTGGCCATTGTATTAAAAAACAAGTAAGTCAAGAAGACAAATTGATCTTGTGACTATATTCATCTCATAGAATAACTGATAATAACTTCAAATAGGCAGTGAAAATCTGCAGTGTATATAGTATTGGTGTAAAATTGACAACATTTTTATTATTAATTTATATTATATGGATCTTCTTGAAGATGAATTGGTTTTTGTTTCATACAATTGCATATTGTTAGATAATATTTGGTAAGTAACAAGGAAATTACTTTTGATCATCCAACTGTGATCTTATGTGAATCTTAAACATTTGATAAATTTCCAGGGTGAGACCAACACAAATATAGGTATTGACTCCATTGTGGCCATTCCCTATGAATATTGGCACCAAGACCTGGTGCGTCCACAACTAGTGTGCACTCGTGTTAATGGCCAGTGTTTGGAGTCCTTTTACCCAATTCCTCCTGAAACTACAAAGGTAAATATTGATTACTTAATGAAGAACCTTATGTGCTGTGAAGGTGTAGGAAGCATTTTAATGTTGAAAATTATACATAATGTTCATGTTGGTTTTAAATGTATTTATGTATTCATTTTATAAGTTAGGAAAAACTCATTAAAAATATTGGAAACAAGACGTACATTGATGCGAGAGAGAGAGAAGAGAAGGAGAAGAAACTAAGAGATAGAAGCAAAAGAGAGAGAGAGAGAGAGAGAGGTAGGGGGAGATATTGAGAGAGAGAAAAGACTGTGAGAAGCAAAAGAGAGAGAGAGAGATACTGAGAGAAAGAGACAGAGAGAAAGTTAGACTTAGAGACAGAGTCTGTGAGTATGTGTATATGAGAGTGTGATTATGTGTGTAAGAGCAGAAGGGACAGAGGGAGACTGGGTATTTTATTTTTATTTTTATTTTTCAACTTAATTTATTTTTTCAACACGTCGGCTATCTCCCACCGAGACAGGGTGACCCAAAAAGAAAGAAAGAAACCCAAAAAGAAACAAGAAAACTTTCATCATCATTCAACTCTTTCACCATCACTCTCACATAATCATTGTCTTTGCATAGATGCTCAGATATGTCAGTTTAGACGTCCCTCCAAACTGGCAATATTTTAAACCCCTCCTTTAAAGTGCAGGCATTGTACTTCCCATTTCCAGACTCGAGTCCGGCTAACCGGTTTCCCTGAATCCCTTCACAAAATATTACCCTGCTCACACACTAACAGCTCGTCAGGTCCCAAAAACCATTCGTCTCCATTCACTCCTATCTAACACATTCACTCATGCTTGCTGGAAGTCCAAGTCCCTTGCCCACAAAGCCTCCTTTACCCCCTCCCTCCAACTTTTTTGGGGATGAACCCCCTACCCCGCTTTCCTTCCCCAACAGATTTATACATTCTCCAAGTCATTCTACTTTGTTCCATTCTTTCTAAACTACCAAACCACCTCAACAGCCCCTCTTCAACCCTCTGACTGATACTTTTAGTAACTTCACACCTCCTCCTAATTTCCACACTACAAATTCTCTGCATAATATTGCACCACACATTGTCCTTAAACACAACATCTCTACCGTCTCTATCCACCTCTTCGTTGCAGCAATTACAACCCATTCTTCATTTACAGCCCATTCCCTTCTTTGTCTGCATGGATAACATACTTTGCCTCCACAGATACCTCTATGCACCACTTACCCTGTTTTTCTTCATCAATTCTATTGTTTACCTCATCCTTCATAAATCCATCCACTGACAAGTCAACTCCCAAATATCTGAAAACATTCATTTCTTCCATACTCCCTCCCTCCAATGTGATATCCAATTTTTCTTAATCTGAGTCATTTGATACCCTCACCACCTTACTCTTATCTATATTCACTTTCAACTTTATACCTTTACACACCCTCCCAAACATGTCCACTAACCTTTGCAACTTTTCTTTAGAATCCCCCAAAAGCACAGTATCATTAGCAAAAAGTAACTGTGTCAACTCCCATTTTGTATTTGTTTCTCCATAATTTAATCCCTCTCCCCAACACACTAGCATTTACTTGTTTTACAATCCAATCTGTAAATACAGATGTTGCAAGTATATGGAATAGGTAGTAAGTTACTAAATGCTGCAAAAAGTTTTTATGAGGATACTGAGGCTCAGGTTAGGGTGTGTAGAAGAGAGGGAGATTACTATCTGGTTGAAGTAGGTCTTAGACAGGGATGCTTAATGTCACCATAGTTGTTTAATATATTTATAGATAGGGTTGTAAAAGAAGTAAATGCTAGGGTGTTGGGGAGAGGGGTGGGATTAAATTATGGAGAATCAAATACAAAATAGGAATTGGCAGTTACTTTTTGCTGATGATACTGTGCTTATGGGAGATTCTAAAGAAAAGTTGCAAAGGCTAGTGGATGAGTTTGGGAGTGTGTATAAAGGTAGAAAGTTGAAAGTGAACATAGAAAAGAGTAAGGTGAGGATGGTATCAAATGATTTAGATAAAGAAAAATTGGATATCAAATTGGGGAGGAGGAGTATGGAAGAAGTGAATGTTTTCAGATATGTATTTGGGAGTTGACGTGTCAGCGGATGGATTTATGAAGGATGAGGTTAACCATAGAATTGATGAAGGAAATCAGGTGAGTGGTGCATTGAGGTATATGTGGAGACAAAAAGCATTATCTATGGAGGCAAAGAAGGGAATGTATGAAAGTATAGTGGTACCAACACTTTTATGGGTGTGAAGCTTGGGTTGTAAATTCTGCAGCGAGGAGGCGGTTGGAGGCAGTGGAGATGTCCTGTCGAAGGGCAATGTGTGGTGTAAATATTATGCAGAGAATTCGGAGTGTGGAAATTAGGAGAAGGTGTGGAGTTAATAAAAGTATTAGTCAGAGGGCTGAAGAGGGGTTGTTGAGGTGGTTTGGTCATTCAGAGAGAATGGATCAAAGTAGAATGACATGGAGAGCGTATAAATCTGTAGGGGAATGATGGAGGGGTAGGGGTCGTCCTTGAAAAGGTTGGAGGGAGGGGGTAAAGGAGGTTTTTTGGATGAGGGGCTTGGACTTCCAGCAAGCATGTGTGAGCATGTTAGATAGGAGTGAATGGAGACGAATGGTATTTGGCACCTGACAAGCTGTTGGAGTGTGAGTAGGGTAATATTTAGTGAAGGGATTCAGGGAAACTGGTTATTTTTATATAGCCGGACTTGAGTCCTGGAAATGGGAAGTACAATGCCTGCACTTTTAAGGAGGGGTTTGGGATATTGGCATTTTGGAGGGATATTTTGTATATCCTTATACATATATACTTCTAAACTGTTAGTGTTCTAGGCACCTCTGCAGAAACAGTGATTATGTGTGAGTGAGGTGAAAGTGTTGAATGATGATGAAAATATTTTCTTTTTGGGGATTTTCTTTTTGAGTCACCCTGCCTCGGTGGGAGACGGCCGACTTGTTGAAAAAACGAAAAAAAAAATTACATTTATATTTAAATTTATATTGGAATATTATTATCATTATTATTTCAATATTACATTGTACTGTAAACAATTTCTTTATTTCTGTTTTAACAGCTGCCATTTTTTTTCTAATTGTTTAGGTTGAATTTGAATCAAACATAGAGGGAAAAATGGCTACAGAATTACCTGATGGTATTGCCAATATTACTGGTCTTGTTTACCTCAACCACAGTGATCCAATGGTGGATGTTGTTGGCAAGTTGAGGTATGCTGGAAAATACGTCTTTGTCGTCCACTACTATCAACCTCAGTACCCAGGTAAAAATTATGAAGATTTTTAATTAAGCCTAATGAAACATTCATTACAGATTAGATGGCATAAGTAAACTCTTGATATAATGGATTTGTGTATAATGGACTTTGGAAGTATGGAAAAAATCTGCTGGGTCATTCGATTCAGAAACAACAGGCAAAGACTGTTGGTTACAGATTTGTCCATTATTGTTACTATCATGACAAAACACTTGGTTTATTCACCACAGTTGTTATTACTGACTACCTGCTCCCCATTATATGTCGAGGACTTGCTATTCATAATTTAGGAGGGATAAGTTAAATCACCCTGCCTCAGTGGGAGACGGCCGACTTGTTTAAAAAAAAAAAAAAAAAAAGTTAAATCATTCTTTATGGGCAAGTGGAACAGAATTCTTCCTCTGTAAGCCATGTGTTTCGTAAGAAGTGATTAAAATGCTGGGAGCAAGGGGCTAGTAACCCCTTCTCCTCTACATTACTAAAGTTAAAAAGAGTAACTTTTGTTTTTGTTTTTGTGCCACCCTGCCTCAGTGGGATATGCCCAGTTTGTTGAAAAAAAGAAGAAAGAGCTAAATCATGAATAGCTTATTATGCACAGTATCAAGATCTGTAAGTAAAGAAAAAAAAGTCAGTCTGCTTTTTATGTACATGCGACATTTCCCGAGTCTTATGTCATATAAGGTGCACCAATTTATTTCAGGAGCTCCTGGAGTTTAGAATGTTTACAAAATAAATTTGTTTTATTCCTTTTCCATTTTCCTTATTTTTTTTTTCTGTATTTATGCAAGAAAAATGTGTTTTCAAACACCAGTGTCATATTGAAGGAAGCATTTATTAAATTTTTTATTATTTTTTATTATCACACTGGCCGATTCCCACCAAGGCAGGGTGGCCCGAAAAAGAAAAACTTTCACCATCATTCACTCCATCACTGTCTTGCCAGAAGGGTGCTTTACACTACAGTTTTTAAACTGCAACATTAACACCCCTCCTTCAGAGTGCAGGCACTGTACTTCCCATCTCCAGGACTCAAGTCCGGCCTGCCGGTTTCCCTGAATCCCTTCATAAATGTTACTTTGCTCACACTCCAACAGCACGTCAAGTATTAAAAACCATTTGTCTCCATTCACTCCTATCAAACACGCTCACAGCATGCCTGCTGGAAGTCCAAGCCCCTCGCACACAAAACCTCCTTTACCCCCTCCCTCCAACCCTTCCTAGGCCGACCCCTACCCCGCCTTCCTTCCACTACAGACTGATACACTCTTGAAGTTATTCTGTTCGCTCCATTCTCTCTACATGTCCGAACCACCTCAACAACCCTTCCTCAGCCCTCTGGACAACAGTTTTGGTAATCCCGCACCTCCTCCTAACTTCCAAACTACGAATTCTCTGCATTATATTCACACCCACACATTGCCCTCAGACATGACATCTCCACTGCCTCCAGCCTTCTCCTCGCTGCAACATTCATCACCCATGCTTCACACCCATATAAGAGCGTTGGTAAAACTATACTCTCATACATTCCCCTCTTTGCCTCCAAGGACAAAGTTCTCTGTCTCCACAGACTCCTAAGTGCACCACTCACTCTTTTTCCCTCATCAATTCTATGATTCACCTCATCTTTCATAGACCCATCCGCTGACACGTCCACTCCCAAATATCTGAATACGTTCACCTCCTCCATACTCTCTCCCTCCAATCTGATATTCAATCTTTCATCACCTAATCTTTTTGTTATCCTCATAACCTTACTCTTTCCTGTATTCACCTTTAATTTTCTTCTTTTGCACACCCTACCAAATTCATACACCAATCTCTGCAGCTTCTCTTCAGAATCTCCCAAGAGCACAGTGTCATCAGCAAAGAGCAGCTGTGACAACTCCCACCCTGTGTGTGATTCTTTATCTTTTAACCCACGCCCCCTTGCCAAGACCCTCGCATTTACTTCTCTTACAACCCCATCTATAAATATATTAAACAACCACGGTGACATCACACTTTCCTTGTCTAAGGCCTACTTTTACTGGGAAAAAATTTCCCTCTTTCTACATACTCTAACTTGAGCCTCACAATCCTCGTAAAAACTCTTCACTGCTTTCAAAACCTACCTCCTACACCATACACTTGCAACATCTGCCAAAATTGCCCCCCTATCCACCCTGTCATACGCCTTTCCAAATCCATAAATGCCAAAAAGACCTTTTTAAAGCCTTATCTAAATACTGTTCATTTTATATGTTTCACTGTAAACACCTGGTCCACACACCCCCTACCTTTCCTAAAGCCTCCTTGTTCATCTGCTATCCTATTCTCCGTCTTAACTCTTAATTCTTTCAATTATAACTCTACCATACACTTTACCAGGTACACTCAACAGACTTATCCCCTATAATTTTTGCACTCTCTTTTACCCCTTTGCCTTTATACAAAGGAACTATGCATGCTCTCTGCCAATCCCTGGGTACCTTACCCTTCCATACATTTATTAAATAATTGCACCAACCACTCCAAAACTATATCCCCACCTGCTTTTAACATTTCTATCTTTATCCCATCAATCCCGGCTCCCTTTACCCCCTTTCATTTTACCTACTGCCTCACGAACTTCCCCCACACTCACAACTGGCTCTTCCTCACTCCAAACAAGATGTTATTCCTCCTTGCCCTATACACGAAATCACAGCTTCCTATCTTCATCAACATTTTTAAAAATTCCTCAAAATATTTCCCCCCATCTTCCCAATACCTCTAACTCTCCATTTAATAACTCTCCTCTCCTATTTTTAACTGACAAATCCATTTGTTCTCTAGGCTTCCTTAACTTTTTAATCTCACTCCAAAACTTTTTCTTATTTTCAACAAAAAATTTGTTGAAACAGCTCACCCACTCTCTCATTTGCTCTTTTTTTTACATTGCTTCACCACTCTCTTAACCCTCTCTTTTTCTCCATAAAACTCTTTTCCCTCCTTGCATCACTTCTACTTTGTAAAAACTTCTCATATGCTAACTTTTTCTCCCCTTTCTACTCTCTTTACATCATCATCCACCAATCGCTCCTCTTCCCTCCTGCACCCACTTTTCCCGTAACCACAAACTTCTGCTGAACACTCTAACACTACATTTTAAAAACCCACCCCATTCCTCTTTGACCCACTTGCCTTATGCTCTCATTAGCCCATCTATCCTCCAATAGCTGTTTATATCTTACCCTAACTGCCTCCTCTTTTAGTTTATAAACCTTCACCTCTCTCTTCCCTGATGCTTCTATTCTCCTTGTATCCCATCTACCTTTTACTCTCAGTGTAGCTACAACTAGAAAGTGATCTGATATATCTGTGGCCCCTCGATGAAACATGTACATCCTGAAGTCTACTCAACAGTCTTTTATCTACTAATACATAATCCAACAAACTACTGTCATTTCGCCCTACATCATATCGTGTATACTTATTTTTTCCTCTTTTTTTAAAATATGTATTACCTATAACTAAACCCCTTTCTATACAAAGTTCAATCAAAGGGCTCCCATTATCATTTACACCTGGCACCCCAAACTTACCTACCACACCCTCTCCTAAAAGTTTCTCCTACTTTAGCATTCAGGTCCCCTACCACAATTACTCTCACTTGGTTCAAAGGCTCCTATACATTCACTTAACATCTCCCAAAATCTCTCTCTCTCCTCTGCATTCCTCTCTTCTCCAGGTGCATACACGCTTATTATGACCCACTTCTCGCATCCAACCTTACTTTAATCCACATAATTCTCGAATTTACACATTCATATTCTCTTTTCTCCTTCCATAACTGATCATTTAACATTACTGCTACCCCTTCTTTGCTCTAACTCTCTCAGATACTCCAGATTTATCCCATTTATTTCCCCCCACTGAAACTCTCCTACCCCCTTCAGCTTTGTTTCGCTTAGAGCCAGGACATCCAATTCTTTTCATTCATAACATCAGCAATCATCTGTTTCTTGTCATCCGCACTACATCCACGCACATTTAAACAACCCAGTTATTATAAAGTTTTTCTTCTTCTCTTTTTTAGTAAATGTATACAGGAGAAGGGTTACTAGCCCATTGCTCCCGGCATTTTAGTCGCCTCATACGACACGCATGGCTTACGGAGGAAAGATTCTTTTCCACTTCCCCATGGACAATAGAAGAAATAAAAAAGAACAAGAGCTATTTAGAATAAGGAGAAAAACCTAGATGTATGTATATATATATATATGCATGTGCGTGTCTGTGAAGTGTGACCAAAGTGTAAGTAGGAGTAGCAAGATATCCCTGTTATCTAGCGTGTTTATGAGACAGAAAAAGAAAACCAGCAATCCTACCATCATGCAAAACAGTTACAAGTTTTTGTTTCACAGTCATCTGGCAGGACGGTAGTACTTCCCTGGGTGGTTGCTGTCTACCAACCTACTACCTTAAATGTGTACACTAAATAAATTCAAAATTTATATAAAAGAGTATGTAACTCTAATTTGTACACTATAATTATTGTGTGTAGAAAGGGCCAATTTAGTCATGTGCAGTACCTGTACAAACATGTGACAGCATCAGCTACCATCATCATTACTTACCATATACAGTGGAACCTCGGTACATGACCAGCTCGCTACTCGAAGAAAGCTCACACTTGACCAAACAAAAACGACCTGCCAAAACTTCACTGTAAACTATTTCGTGTCTCTTCGCATTTTTTGGTGTTTTTTTGTATCTTTATAAATAAGTCGCCACGGGGCCTACGAAGATCAGTGATAACAGCAAACCAAACATAAAATTGGTTGGGAAGAACTTGTTCGATACTCAAATGGATCGGCGCTCGAACAGCCTTCTGGAATTAATTAAGGTTGCATACCGAGGTCCCACTGTATAAGGGCTGAGGTAAGTTAGTTATTGATTCACTTTAGTGTTTATTACTTCCACAGAACCTGCAAAGCAGAGCTTAATGCTGCACTTGTGTGGTGGCCCTCATAACCCTCAGCAACGCTGCTGTACTATTGAATGTTTTAGCTTCACCGCAGTCTTAATTGTTTAATAACTTTTTCATTCTCTGTTATCAGTCACCAATATATTCAGCAAGTATATTAATACAGCTGGAATAAGCAAATGACTGTTGAAGTCTGAGAAATGTGTATGTAATTACGTTGTGATTATGGGTTATTAGCTTTCACTGCCTTCCACCCTTGCTACACATCTCTAACTACTTAATTTTCTTAGAAACCATCAGTGTTCCATGTTTAATTCTCTTTTTTTGGCATGTACATCATCTCTAGTATTCCTTTTGAGTGTTTAATATCCAGAAATGAGACTACATAATTACAATGATATACTTCTACGAGGCAGCTAGAGTGTGAATACATTGTTTAAAGTATGAGTGACCCTAGTCCTTTCCCTAAAAATAATGGCATTGCCCGTAGGCTAACTGCAGGGTGGAGGAGAAATATCCTGTTTTGTGTTCTAACGGGTTTTGGCATGCAGCGTAGACTGATGATTGTTTCCCAAAATTTATAGCATGGTACTGTGTGCTTTGCCAGTTTTTTCCTATGCAACATACACTTGTCACAATATTTCATCTGTGTTATATTGAAAAACCTACTGTGTAGGCACATGTTAGTTGAGGGACTGCTGAATATTACTACGTAAAAATATTACAAAATATAAATAATTTATAAGATACTTGTAGCTAATTTTGGTATCTGAGAGTAATTTTGTATATGAATATTGTAATAGTTATACTAAATGCACACAGTAAATCTTAAGCATTTTTTTTTTTTAACAAGTCGGCCGTCTCCCACTGAGGCAGGGTGACCCAAAAAGAAAGAAAATCCCTAAAAAGAAAATACTTTCACCATCATTCAACACTTTCACCTCACTCACACATAATCACTGTTTTTGCAGAGGCGCTCAGAACACAACAGTTTAGAAGTATATATGTATAAAGATACACAACATATCCCTCCAAACTGCTAATATCCCGAACCCCTCCTTTGGAGTGCAGGCATTGTACTTCCCATTTCCAGGACTCAAGTCCGGCTATACAAAAATAACCGGTTTCCCTGAATCCCTTTTATTTAAGGTGAAAAATATACATGTAGGTGAAAATAGGATTAAGTTCCAGACACTTAAATTTTCTAAACTCACACTGAATATTCTTTTCATTTTTTTTTATACAGGCATTTTACAAGCTTTATAAATTTTGGAAAATACAGTGGTCCCTTGTTTTTCATAATTAATCCGTTCCTGGAGGAGCTACTATGAACGAAATTTACGATTTGCGAATCAATTTTCCCCATAAGAAATAATGTAAATACAATTAATCCATTCCTGACACCCAGAAGTATTAAAACAAAAAAATTTTTTACATGAAATATACATGTAGCACATAAACAATACAATGGGAAATGATGAATGAAACATTAACAGCATAACACTTACCTTTATTGGAGATTCTTCTTAGTGTATGGGAGACTGGAGGAGGAGAGAGAGTGGATTGTTTATAGTTTGGAAGGGGAATCCCCTTCCAGCAACACCTCAGGTACCAATTGCTTTTCTGGGGTTGCTTGTCTTCTCTGTTTCTTAATGCCACTAGGACCACCCTTTAGAGTCACTGGAGTCCTGTCTCGCAAAAATAACTGTGGAGAGAGCTCTGTTTCTGGCGCTCTTTAAAACTTCCCTAAAATGGCCCAAGACTTTGTCACTGTACATGTTGGAAACATGGCTTGCAACAACCTTGTTAGGGTGATGTTTCTCCATAAAGCTTTCCATCTTACCCCACATAGTAAAAATCTCTTAAATTTCTGAAGAAGGGCACCTTCTTCCATCTGTCTTCCTCCTCCTCTGCAGCAAGATCTGAGCTGCGATCTGTTGCTCTTTCTGCTGAAGCTCTTGCAGCTCCCCAGTGGTGACTCTTCGTTGTGGTCTTTCCACCAATTCTTCCACATCCTCAAACTCCCCATCCAACCCCATGGAACTTCCCATTTCCACAATTGATTTTACAACAGACATAAAGGGTCATCAGGGTCGTCCCAAACCCTTCAAAATCCCTCTTGTCGACACAATCTGGCCACAATTTTCTCCAGGCAGAGGGTTTAAGTCCTGGTAGTCACTCCCTCCCAAGCCATACCTATAAGGGTTATGCAATGGAGGGTGCTGAAGTGTTCTCTCCAAATTCCCTTAGGGTCAAGTGAGTGTCTGGGTCACAGTCAAGCACTGTGAAACATTGCTTTTGTGTAGAGTTTTTTAAAGTTTGCAATACCTGCTGGTCCATGGGCTGGAGGAGAGGAGTGGTATTTGGGGGCAAGAACTTTACTGTGATGAACCCAAACTCCTCGAAAATTTGGTCATCCAAGTTTGGAGGATGAGCAGGTGCATTGTCCATTACTAGCAGGCACTTGAGATCCAATTTCTTTTCCAGGGGATACTCCTTCACACTAGGGCCAAACACTTCATTGAACCACTCGACGAAAATTTCCCTCGTGACCCATGCCTTACAAATTTGATTTCCCCAAAACACACACAAATTTACTCTTCTAAATTGTTTTTCGTGAGCGCTCTGGGGTTTTCAGAATGGTCACTAGTAATGGCTTCACTTTGAAAAACCCCACTAGCATTAGCACAGAACATTAGCGTCAGCCTGTCTTTCATAGGCTTGTGTCCTGGCATTGCCTTTTCCTCTTGTGTAATGAAGGTCCTCTTTGGCATTTTCTTCCAAAAGAGGCCTGTTTTGTCACAATTGAACACTTGTTCAGGTTTCAGTCCTTCAGCCTCTATGTACTCCTGGAATTCATGCACATATTTTTCAGCCGCCTTGTGGTCCGAACTGGCAGCCTCACCATGCCTTACCACACTGTGTATGCCAGTACTATTTGCAGGCAATTTCTTTACCAAATCGCCATGCAACTGCCTAGCCTTTTCACAAATAATCGAAGTCATAAGAGTATCTCCTGCTAATTGTTTCTCATTTATCCACACCAATAATAACTTCTCAACCTCTTCGAGTGCTGGTGATCTCAATTTTGTCAGCATAGTTACCCCCTTTGCAACAACAGCGTCCTTGATTTCCTTTTTCTTGGCCACTATGGAACATAATTTGTGTAGGGTTTCTTATACGTCCTGGCCAGTTCGGCCACATTTGTACCACTTTCATATTGTTCAATGATGGTTTTCTTAAATTCAATCATATTTCTCACCTTCTTTACCACAGGCTTGGCACTAGGAGCTTTCTTTGGAGCCATGGTAGCTTATTTAGTACTTGCAAGCACTAAAATAAATGGAATATTATGAAATATTTCGCTGGAGCACGTGAGGGGACCTTCACTCACTGGTAAACAATGCCAGACTCTCTGCCGCCACGGCTCATGCCGTGGGTACGCGGTCAACTTATGAAAAGCGAGTCCATGTTTTTATTATTATCACACTGGCCGATTCCCACCAGGGCAGGGTGGCCCGAAAAAGAAAAACTTTCACCATCATTCACTCCATCACTGTCTTGCCAGAAGGTTGCTTTACACTACAGTTTTTAAACTGCAACATTAATACCCCTCCTTCCATGTTTATGCGAAAATAACCCTATGATTGGCGAAATTTACGATTGCCGGGAACTACGAAAAGCGAGGGACCACTGTACTACTGTTTAATGGACATCTCTTGCTTTTATAAGTCATGTTCAGTATAAGGTTGGAGTTGGGGGCACCACTCATGGCCCAGTAAGAAGTGTACAGTAAACCTTCGATTTAAGAAACCTTGATTTGATGGATTTTGTCAATACAAGAGAAAATCCACTGGGTTAGTCGATTCAGAAACAGTCGGCAGAGTTCGTGTGTTACAGAATTATCTTATACGTATTTTTACCATCCCAATAAAACATCTCTTTTTCTTTACACCACAGGCTCCATTACTGATCACCTGCTGCTCCATAGATGGTCAGGGTTACTACTAAAATTTCGTTTTTTTTTTTTTTTTCATAGATTTTCACATCAATATTTCTGATATTCAAATGTTTTGTTGTACTTGTTAAATTACAACAAAATCATACTAAGTGTAGTCATGTAAGAGGATTTTTTGTATATAGTATGTTTACTTAAGGCCCTGTTTTGCTTTTTTTTTTATATATGAAAAGTTTTAGAAAATATTTACAAAATATTAATATTATGTGTGTGTATGACTTCTGCAGATGATGAGCTGTATGTCCAGGTTGCTTATGCAAGTGACAAAGGTTAGCTTTTGCCTGCGCTTTATTGCTTTAATGCTCCAAGCATCATCATGTATGTATATAAAAATTGCTTTATTGTTCTTGCTCCAAACAAGGCATGTATATACATAGTGTAATTATTGTGTGTATTTTAGGCAGTCAAACCACCCAAAAAACTAGACATTTTTAAAAATATTCTGATGTTTTGTTAGACATATTTTTGTGAATTAACATGGATTAGGTTTTTTATTTTGCATTAACATAGCAATTTAACCTAACCTTGCCAAAATTAACCTAATTTAATTTAGCTTTCTCCTTCATACCCTATATTAAGTCAGTTAAAATTTAGTTACTATTATTTAACACTAGGAAATTAATTTTTACAGAATTATTGCATCATTGAGTTAACAGATTTTATGTATTTGACTAAACAGTCATCGCTATATAAGCTAAGGCTGCAGCTGTGCCTATTAAGTTTAACATTATTATAAACAGTAGCTTCTTGTGCCTCTTGTAATCTATGCTGTGTCTGTATATTTATATTAGTACTCCAACAAGTTTCATTCATTGATAGTTTGTTATGCCTTATTCTGAAGGTTGACCTCACTTCCTCCATTGCAGAGTTTGATGTTGATGTATTAATCCAGAATGGGCAGTTTTATGAAGGTTCATTAGCAGTCCATCACTGTCCTAGCACCTCTGGTTGTCGATCCATCATTAAGCAGCCTGATGGATCCTATATTTTTGATATATTAGAGAACTTCGTCCTCTCACTTAAGGTATTTTCTTTGACGTGTTGTGAAGAAATTAAAATCTGAAATCTAGATCCCTTTGGTTGATAAATTGGGTATAAATTTTTCATATATGTAAAATATTCGCTCTTTATAACACATTAGTCCTTTTCTGCCAAGGTATGGTGACCCAAAGAAGAATGCACATTCACCATTATTGATTTGCAAGCAGTCTTTCCAGAAGTGTTATTTTATAGAGCTTGAAGCTGTCTTATTTTTTCTTTCCAAATAAAATGTATGGAAGAAGGTTTTGCTATAGCAATGGGTCTTATATGCTAAGAAAGTGTTGTATACTTTTTTGTATACTGAATGCTCGTCATTAAAGTATGTTAGGTGGAAGGCATCTGGCATACCTCAGTGTCCATGGTAAGATTATTACCTCATAATGGAATGTCTCAGGATTCTCTAATGCTACAGACTGTACCCTATGTACCTTGGAGATGTGTATGATGGGTGGATGAATTTGTGTCTATGGGGTCCCTGCACCATGTGGTCTTAACCCTTTAAGGGTCAAGGCCCCTGATTTGAAACTTGTTGTTAAAGTCCAAGAATTTTCTCACCCAAAAATAATTTTCCTTATTAAAAGTAAAGAATCTTTTTCCAAAGGCAGTGACACCAAAAGTATGAAATTCGATGAAAAACTATGGAAGTACGCTTTTGCAAAGTTATCAGTCTCGGCGATATTTACACACCGGCTATTTTGCCTACTTTGGGTCCTATTTTAGGTCAATTCCATTATTCCAATGATCCAAACTCTTAGCTGTTTTGCTAGTTTGCTTTCCATTCTATCAATTGAGCGCAGGAAACCTTCCATTTAACTATCTCGGCTATCCATTAAAGTGACCAGAAATTGGTAATTTGGCCAATTTCACACAAAATTAAAAAATGCCAATTTAAAAATAGGGTCTAACATAAACAATGTGGATATTCCTAGCAAAACATTTCCTCTGTTCATTAGTCATGTTTCCCCTGGCCTCTTCTATATTACCCTTGCTTTCCATTTTGAATTTTTATTCACACAAAAAAATAGAAGATTTACTGTTATGCAGGCTATTGCATTCTTGTAATAATTGTATAAATAATGTCAGCACATTTGTGAGCATGACCATTTGGACACATTCATGAGGAGTGATATGATTCATCTCTGGAATATTGATAAAAATCGAATATGTCTGCTACTTTAAGCTTAATTTCAAGCTACTTGCAGTCCTGAAATCAATCAAAATTGTCTCTATTTCTGTAACATATCTTTCATTCTGCCGAATGGTACCAAGAAACTGAGAATAAACCCAGAAAAATAGCCTGAAAATACACTGCAAAGTCATTGTTTTAAACCATACACAGTTTTGTTTTGTCAGTTATGCACTGCATGGGGCAGGATTTTTTTTTATATGCTGCAAACTCACTGCACAGACCCATTCTTTCACATCTAGGCCAAAATTTACTGCTTATAGCTTATCTGAGTGAGCTAAGCTCATCACGTAGTTCTGCAGCACAGACCCTGAGCTCAAAGCCATAGTAATACAGCATGGTGCGTGAAACGGTTAAGTGCTGAATTTGTCAGGTATTTTTAGCTATTGATGACTTAATATGGGCAGGAGTGTATTTGTATGCAGAGGGCTTGGACTTCCAGCAAGCATGTGTGTGTGTGTGTGTGTGTGTGTGTGTTAGATAGGAGCTGTTGGAGTGTGAGCATAGTAACATATATGGAGGAATTCAGGAAAACCAGGTTAGCTGGACTTGAGTCCTGGAGGTGAGAAGTACAGTGCAACATCTAAGAATGCCTAGAAAAACATTCCCACTAATGTTTACGATAATTAAATACCTAGAATTGCTCTGTTATCACTTGTATTAGTCTTTCATGTAGTAGTGCAATGATTTTATGCAAAACAGTGCTTGCCACATTGCAAAATCTGTTATTCGTTGGCTTTGTGACTGTGATACTCCTCTTCTTCTTCAATGATTGATCAAGAAATTTCCCAGACTTGAACCCCATTGATTTTCATGTGAAAATTTGTGAATGCCTCATTGCTCGGCTTCAAACATTTAATGTTGAGAACAAGTGACTGGAGGAGAATCACTATTGGCTTGGCATCTCTTATTATGAAGATTTAGTTATTGAGCCTATCATTTTCCTTTCAGTTGTGATAATGACACTGTTGTGTTCCTTGGAAGTGAGATCTAAATGAAATTATCACTCCTAAACTCCCCCCTTCCCCACATTAGGCTTTTGCTCTATTCAGTGATTTGAGTTTGTTTTATACTTCACTCTAGTCTTTATTTTTGCAAGTTTCCCTTAGTGGAGCAACTGAAATTTGTCTTCATTGAATGCCATATTGTTGCATTGACTCGCTGGAAGACTCACTTAATATCAGCTTGGAGGTTGTTGTATCCTCAGTTGATGCTACTCTCATACAGTTTCTAGCATTCTTTGCAATAGATGGTATGTTGCTATGATTTATGTTTCTGTCTAGATTGAATATGGAAAAAGTGAGTAGGGGTGAGTACTGTGCATTGGAAGACAGAATTTTTCACTGTATCAGCCTCTGATTTTACTCTGTTCACTTACTCTTTAAACTATTAGTGCTGGTGTGTTTTTTACAAAGGAAATTTTACGTTGATTTTGGGTCGTGTAAGTTTTCATTTGTCAATGTTATTAAATAAATTGTTTTTTGTGCAATAATTGGAGAATCCTTCATTTAATCAGCTTCAAACTTTCAAATGTAATGTATCTTACTTAGAGAAAGATTTTGATTGATTTTTGGCCATGTAGTTCCATTAATGACATATTGAATTGTTGATTTTCAACTGTTAATTTATAAATGTCTCATCTAATTGGCTTCTAAACTTTAACACTGATAAGTTGAGAATGTAACTTCTGAGCATCTCTAAACTTTGTGTTGGTGTACTTTTTTTATATTGGTCTCCATGCAATAACTAGAGAATGCTTCTTCAGACTGGCTTTAAATTTTTGAAGGTTACCACCTTCAAAAATTTAAAGCCAGTCTGAAGAAGCTTAATGTAAAATTTGAATTGGTTTTGGGCTGAATGATTTACAGTTTTCAGATAAAAAAATCAAATCAAAAGTTTATTTCTTTGTGAAAGTGTGTTTACATTTTATAATTTGATTGGTACAAAGAAAGCCACTATCATGCCAAGGCTTGAAAGTGGCCATAACCATACCCACACTATGCTAATCTCTAATCAAATTTGAAATAACTCTCCCAAATATTTTATTATCCCTTATCTATTAACCCTTTCAGGGTCCGTCCCGTAGATCTACGGCTTTGCGTTCAGTGTCCAAACCGTAGATCTACTTCATGAACTCAGCTCACTCTGATAAACTGTGAGTGGTACACTTGGGCCTAGATATGAGAGAATACATCTATGTGGTATGTGTGCACCACATAAAACAAATCCTGCAGCACACTGTGTATAATGAGAGAAAAAAAACTGAAACCAAGATTTTCGATTAAAACAGCAACTTTGCAGTGTTTTTCCGTATGTTTTTTATAGTTGTATTTGCAATTTCTTGGTCTCATTTGATAGAATGGAAGACATATTACAGAAATAGAGATGATTTTGATTGGTTTTAGCACCGGAAATGGCTTGAAACTGAGTTCAAAGTAGCGGAAATGTTAAATTTTTGTCGATGTTCGAGAGTAAACAAACGACCTCACACGTCTAATACATGCCAGCTGGTGGATCTAATACACATTCACAAATGTGGTGATGATATTTATACAATTATTACAATATTGCATAACAGTAAATCTTCTATTTTTTGGTGTGAATAAAAATTCATTATGTAAATAAAAAATAAAAATAGGATTTATTTGTAAAGCCTCAAAACATAACTAATGAACCGAGGAAATGTTAGTTTAGTGCCAGGAATGCCTACATTGTTTATTCTGGATGCTATTTTGAAATTGGAATATTTTGAACTTTGTGTTAAATTGGCCAAATTACCAATTTCCAATCACTTTATTTTGTAGTTGAAACAGTTGACTTGGCGATTTCTTGTGCTCAATCGATAGAATAGAAGTAATACTAGTAAAATAGCTAAGAATTTGGTCGACTGGAATGATGTAATTGGCCTAAAATGGAAGTCAAAGTCGGCAAAATCGCCGATTCGTAAATATCGCTGACACATCAAAATTCGCGAGAGCATAATTTCGTCAATTTTCCATCAAATTTCGTACTTTTTGTTTTATTACCTTCAAAAAAAGATTCTCTACCATTTCATAAGAAAAAATAACAAATTTTTTTTTGGAAAATTCTTGGACACTGGGGCACCACTTCAGATTTGGGCCTTGGACCCTGAAAGGGTTAAACCATTATTACAAACCTAAAAATGTACGTTTGTACCATAAATTGCACGCGATTACTAATATGAGGTTGTACAATTTATGGTACAAACATACATTTTTAGGTTTGTAATAATGGTGTATTAGATAAGGGATAATAAAATATTTGGGAGAGTTATTTCAAATTTGGTTAGAGATTAGCATAGTGTGGGTATGGTTATTATTAAGAGATGAGATGATATTTAACTATAGTCCTAAATTGATTTGTGGGTAGAGGACCCTTTGTTGGTTCAGGCGAAGAGTTCCATCTTCAGGCCCTTTAAGTGCATTGAATTTTTGCATAGTGAGAGATGGACACGAAGGGTGTCAAAAAGTATTTTGTGTCTCGTGTTATGCCTGTGTGTTCTGGTGTAGCTCTGTCTAGGAGAAGTTTGAGTGGAGATTTAAATTGGAGTTTAATGTTCTGTATATATGGTAGGCACAATAATAAGGAGGGGTTCGGGATATTGGCAGTTTGTAGGGATATGTTGTGTATCTTTATACATATATGCTTCTAAACTGTTGTGTTCTGAGCACCTCTGCAAAAACAGTGATTATGTGTGAGTGAGGTGAAAGTGTTGAATGATGATGAAAGTATTTTCTTTTTGGGGATTTTCTTTCTTTTTGGGTCACCCTGCCTTG